ACTTTTTTATATGATTGATAATGAAATATATAGAATCCAGTTTCAGTATAGCAGGTGGGAGGGGCCAAATTGGAGGTGAAATAAGTATCTTTTCAATATAAACTTGTGAACTACTGCATGTGCATGTTATGGATCTTGTGATGGGTGTTAAAGATAAAAATCGAAAAATTGAATTGATTAGCCATTAAGGGATTGATTTGGATCTTGAATATATGTAAATATTCTTTAGCAGTACTAGAATGTAAGAAAACTGCATAATTCCTTTAAAAATACTTCGAACTAGGAATTTTACTCACTATTTCTATATATATATATATATATATACCAGTCTCAATAAAAGGCAAGTCTTCATTTTAACTTTCAAACATGGATAATTCTGGACACATATGGATTTGAGGCATAAATTTTGACGGTGAGCTGTACACAATATTACTGATTAATTAAGCTGAACATTTCATATTCTGAGGTTCTGAGACTAAGGTATGATTGGTTTAACGGTTGGTGAGACTGTCTCTTTAACCCCAATCATTTCTGCTGGTGTTGGCCATTATTACTAGCCCGTAATAAAAATCTAAATGATATCTTAGTCCGTGGTAGATTACCCCCCATCCCCCTTCCATAGGTTTAGTACATTCCCTTTAATTAATATTTCTTATTTATGATAACTTGCAATTGAAGAGTTTCCTCGCAAAAATATCATACATGTATACTATTTTCACTTAATAAATTATATATATTTTTTATATGAAATAAGCATTTTCCTTTTCATTTAATATTGGACAATTCCTCAGTTTAACCAGTGAAAATGTTTATCATGATTTCCATGGTTATTAATGTTCCTGTTGGAACCAGTATTCTTCTTATATATTTCAGATTCGGAAGATAATGGATTTGAATTTCAAATATTCTATATCATTCTTTTAAACTAACTTCACAAACATTGCTCTATCACTAGAGGTTACGCCTACATGCCTGTGCCTGTGTTTTCGTAACATTGCTTAACCGCAATATTACAACCTTAAATTCCTAATCAGAGTGATGAAGTAGATTGTGTAGAATGGATTGCAATATATAAATTTTTAGTCGTGATTTGGTACTATAAAAGTATTTTTTTCGTGAAAGCCATTATAAAACTGATTTTTACGAAGTACTTTTAAAACTTTAACAGAAATACTTGATTGGAAGAAAAAAAAAACAAGCCAGTTTATGATTAAGAAAGTTGTAAAAAATATATTTTTAATTTGAAAAAAACGTTTTAACATATTTTTTTCTTGGTTGTATAAAAGTCATTATTTTTATAGGTTAATGTTGGTAGTTTAAAGATGGGTTTCCTTACTTTTTAGTGTTTTAGTGTCAAATTAAGCAAACTATTTGATAAATTGGTGTTTCTTATGAATTATCTATCATGTATTTAGAAATCATATCATTTTGTTCTTATTGCATATAATTAAGAGTTTTAACCAATCATGTATGTACAGTCTGGATAAACAAAGAAATACTTTTTGACCTTTCTTGATCGGTCACTTATTGGAATTCTGCTGGTAATTCTCTTTTAATTTAGCTAAGCTAATTATGAATTAATCATGGACATGTGAGACAAATTGGTATTTTGGTGTCACTATTACACCTCTACTTTATATTCATATAAGTATTAGCATTTTTATTTTCATAAAAGAAAATAGGGGAACCCATCTTTAAAAGGATGACAGCCTTGAAATTTCAGAGAAACCTACAAAAATATATTATTTTTCAATAGAAAACGATATTAAAAATTCCTTCTGAACTTCGAAGTCAATGTTTATTTCAAGCACTTTTGGTTAATGTATGAAGAAACAAAATAATTTAATTTTTAATGGACCAGTTCACCATTTTTTGGGGGTTTGATTTGAGTCTTGAATATAGTATGTAAATAGTCTTCAGAAGTACTAGAAATGTACAATAATCGCATAAAATACTTCAAAAATACTTCAAAAATACTTCAAAAATACTTCAAGCTAAGGATTTCACTTTCTAGTCTCTCTCTAGAAAAGACGAGTGGTCATTTTAACTTTTAAACATTGATAATTCTGGACACACATGTATATTAAGGGTGAAATTTTTATGATGAGCTGTGAACAATACTACTGATCAACTTAATGTAAAAATTGTGCCAAAAAGGATTTTTTTAGGACAAAGCAACATCCTTTGATCTAGGTCATGATCAAACCAAACCTCCTGTTTTCATCTGATTTCAATAATGGTTTATGCTATGAAAGCTTATCAAGTAGAACAGAAGAGTTTAATTGTCAAGAAGTGCTGAGTTATGACTTTGTTTGAGAAAGTTATTAATATGAGCAAACATGATTAAGTAAAATCTCTCTATTTATGGTTATATGTCTTAAAGGGTGCAATGCATTTTGACCCTAGAAAACAATTTTCTGTAACATTCATGTTTGATTGAATTGAGACTGGCCCAACTTTCGATATTTTATGCTGCTGCAGCCCTGTCGCCAGCTGGGGCTCAGATTTTGTGCCAAAGTGGTGCAGGTGGTTTCCTGTCAACTCGGCGCAAGTTCCATGAGCTGGAGGCTATCACTCATGTAAATTTGAATAAGAACTTATTTCTAACCATTTTTACTTTTTGAACAAAGACACTGCAAATAAATCAATCTCAGGTGGCCTGAAGAAGGTAGGGGCTTCATTCTCACTTTCTAGGGCTGTGGACCTCAAGTGCTTGGCTATATGAATATCTCCTTGAAGGGGTTAATAACTTTTGAACTATGTAAACATCAATACATCTGGCTAATGCTGGTTTGAAATACTGTCTTGTTTTGGGTTCGAATCCTCCTCTAAGTAAGACAAATTCTGATGCCTGTGCCTGTGGTTCTGAGAGTGCTATTGAACTGTTGTGTTCCTGTGAAGGATACATTGGTTAAATTCTTTGCGGAGAAAGTCAGTTACGTATTGGGAACTACTATTGATATATCATTTGCGGTTTTGCAATCGTAAGGACCAAATGACTTGATGAAAAAAAAATGTGACCATATGATTTTAAACAGCTCTCCTTTAATGTCAATAATTCAAGTGTGGGTTGGTGACATTTATTAGCTTAATTTCTATTAATGACATTTTCTAACAACTTTTATATTCTTTAATTAGTGGGTTGAAAAATGAGTTTACATCTACTCAATGAACTTTCAATAGGTTTTCTGAGTTGGTATGATCAACTGTTTATTAAAGGGGTATTCCGCTTTTTTTTCGTAAAAAGTTTTCATTATCAAAAATGTCGTAAATTATACCTGAAAATATTTATGCTATTTCTATCAATGTATCTTCTTGATCATATTGGATTTGTTTTAAAAGGGTTGATTTAAAACATAGGGTACTAATTGTTAATTGATTGACCCAGTTTTGGTGTTTGCGTTATAATTGCTCAATATTATTAGTTGAAACCTTTAGACATAATTCTCTAAATTTTTTCAAACAGCTTCCAAAACGCATATAATAAAAACCTTTTGTAATGTTTTCAAACATTTTTGGCGTTTTAAAATTAACAGCTCGATTTTTTTTAGTTAAAACTTTCAGATACGTTAAAGGGCACATTTCTCTACATTCTGGTGTTTAGTTTTCACAAGTTTGAGCAAAAAAAATTTCGACTTACAAAAAAAGCGGAGTGTCCCTTTAAGCATGATTCTATATTCTTATAGTAAAACATTGGTAGTATAATAATATAGTATATTTTGAAACATGGAGAAAGATTATCTACTTACAAGAACTATTAGTCCATTTTAATTGGTTTTTGTCATTTTTGAAACTTTGAAAATGACTATGTAAGCTAGCTTATTTCAACATAGGCCTACCGAATTCGAACTTGTGAAAAAGATACTTGAAAATGTGATTTTTGACATGGTTGTTCAAAATTTTGTTGAGAAAATTGAAATTATTAGGATTTAAATAAATTTTGTGGTAAATCATGTTGGAGAAAATAAAAAGGTAAAAGGGCCGTAAATAGGGTATGATGTATATGACTGGAAAATAGCCAAAACAACATCCCTATGGATATCCAGCCTTTAGATGTCTTTCCTAGCTACGGACATTCCTGAAGTTATTGAAGGTCACTCGACCATTAACCTATACTTAATCTCCTAAGAAGAGACTAAGATAATCATAGCTAATGATATTGTAGCCTTGTACATTAACTATCAGTCTTTATTGAACACACTTTACTCCCAGCTAGACATCCTTTGATGTTAGAAAATGATTCATACCATATTAATCATGTTTCCAGGATAGACATTCTATATAATAATTGTGGGTCAGGTCATTAAACAGATCAAGACAGGATTGGTTCTCTAGTCAGAATTTCAGGAACATATGGTGCCATTCTATTTCATCACATCTATTCTAGTGACATCATTCTGTTTCAATAATTTCATCAGTGCTATTTTTACTTGAATATAGGATGTCACTTAAGACAATTTAACTAGAAAATTATTTATGTCTAAAAATCAAAGTTGGATATCTCCAAAATGAATTTATTTATTCCACTCTATGTAGTGTGTTATGAGGGGAATTTTGCTAAAATAATGGCATTGACCTTCTCTTAGATACACAACTTGAAGCAATTTGTATGATTTTGTCCTTTTCTTACATTCATTTATTTATTTGTCTTTTCCTGTTATGTCTGATAAGAGCTGGAAAGTGTTTGTCTGTTAATTTGATCTGTAGGACATTTGAAATGAAAGTGAGACAGTTTATTGTTTCTTAATAATTTTTCAAACAAAATTTGAAATATATAAAGATGGGTTCCATTATTTTCATTTATGAAAATAAAATGTGAATACTTATATGAATAGAAAGTAGAGGTGTTCTAATGACTTGAAAAAATACCATTTTGTCTCACATGTCCATAATTGATTCATAATTAGTAAGGTCAAAAAGTCTTTTTTTGATTATCCAGACTGTACATACATGGACATTTATGATCGGTTAAACTCTAAATTATATGCAATAAGAACATAATGGTATGATTAAGAATAAATGATAATTCATTAGAAATACTAATTAATCAAATAGTTTGCTTTATTTGAGACTGAAATATAAGAAAACCCATCTTTAAAGCAACTGAAAGGAAGAAACATACTAATGAAAGGATGTGAAGTAATCCAAATTAAAGATATTGACATTAAGTGTTCTAGTAGGGTTGGAATGTTCTACTTGTCTACTAGCTTAACTCACAATTATAAATTTTGATAACAAATTTTTGAAGAGAGAGACTCAAACTTTAAAAATCATGTAGCTATTGAATTTCTCTGTTATTCTGCTGGTAGTCTTTTCAAGCTATAACAAAATGAACATGTTATCAAAACTGCTGCAAGATATTTTGCTATTTGTTTATTTTCTTCTGCAAATGAGCTTTTTGATGCACACTTTTGTGGGTAAGCACTTTTATTTTTAGAGAAATTTCCGCATTGTTGAATTTTGGACAATAACTACATCTTTTCTGTAAACAAAATTTAATGATGCTTTCTCGTGTGGAGGATTGTGTAAATATGTCATGTCATTGCGGGTGAATTCCTGATCTGTCCATTTTTAGCAATCAACGTATTTCCGGTTGTGTAAGTTCTCTGTAAATAGGATTTCTTCTAGATATTTGGTTGTACTGATTATACAGTCTGATTAAAATTCGACCAAACTTTCTTTCCATTTTTTATCAGCTTTTATTTTTAATATAGTCACTTTAGTTAGGGTCTAACGACAGCCCTATTCGACGTTTGTCAATTTAAACTTTTTGACCAAACTCAATGACGTCTACTATAATCTGATTTCTATCCTTTCAAGCACGGATATTTCTGGACACACATAGATTTGAAGGCTTAAATGTAGGATATGAGCTGTGAACAATATTACTGACTTACAAAATTTATTTTTTGTAGATTTTAGTTGTTGGATTTGATGTTACTAGGTATAATGGTATTATATTAGTTGTTAAATTTCTGTTCTATTGTATATTTTAGGTGTTGGATTTGATGTTGCTAGGTATAATGGTGTTATATTAGTTGTTAAACTTCTGTTCTATTATATATTTTAGTTGTTGGATTTGATGTTACTAGGTATAATAGTATTATATTAGTTGTTAAACTTAGATGTTGGGTTTGATGTTATTAGGTATAATGGTATTATATAAGTTGTTAAATTTCTGTTCTATTGTATATTTTAGATGTTGGGTTTGATGTTACTAGGTATAATGGTGTTATATTAGTTGTTAAATTTCTGTTCTATTGTATATTTTAGATGTTGGATTTGATGTTACTAGGTATAATGGTATTATATAAGTTGTTAAATTTCTGTTCTATTGTATATTTTAGATGTTGGATTTGATGTTTCTAGGTATAATGGTATTATATTAGTTGTTAAATTTCTGTTCTATTGTATATTTTAGATGTTGGATTTGATGTTACTAGGTATAATGGTGTTATATTAGTTGTTAAATTTCTGTTCTATTGTATATTTTAGATGTTGGATTTGATGTTACTAGGTATAATGGTATTATATAAGTTGTTAAATTTCTGTTCTATTGTATATTTTAGATGTTGGGTTTGATGTTACTAGGTATAATGGTGTTATATAAGTTGTTAAATTTCTGTTCTATTGTATATTTTAGATGTTGGATTTGATGTTTCTAGGTATAATGGTATTATATAAGTTGTTAAATTTCTGTTCTATTGTATATTTTAGATGTTGGGTTTGATGTTACTAGGTATAATGGTGTTATATTAGTTGTTAAATTTCTGTTCTATTGTATATTTTAGATGTTGGATTTGATGTTACTAGGTATAATGGTGTTATATTAGTTGTTAAATTTCTGTTCTATTGTATATTTTAGATGTTGGATTTGATGTTACTAGGTATAATGGTATTATATAAGTTGTTAAATTTCTGTTCTATTGTATATTTTAGATGTTGGGTTTGATGTTACTAGGTATAATGGTGTTATATTAGTTGTTAAATTTCTGTTCTATTGTATATTTTAGATGTTGGATTTGATGTTACTAGGTATAATGGTATTATATTAGTATTGTATATTTTAGGTGTAGGATTTGATGTTACTAGGTATAATGGTATTATATTAGTTGTTAAATTTCTATTCTATTGTATATTTTAGGTGTTGGATTTGATGTTACTAGGTATAATGGTATTATATTAGTTGTTAAACTTCTGTTCTATTATATATTTTAGTTGTTGGATTTGATGTTACTAGGTATAATGGTGTTATATTAGTTGTTAAATTTCTGTTCTATTGTATATTTTAGGTGTTGGATTTGATGTTACTAGGTATAATGGTATTATATTAGTTGTTAAATTTCTGTTCTATTGTATATTTTAGGTGTTGGATTTGATGTTACTAGGTATAATGGTATTATATTAGTTGTTAACTTCTGTTCTATTGTATATTTTAGGTGTTGGATTTGATGTTACTAGGTATAATGGTATTATATTAGTTGTTAAACTTCTGTTCTATTATATATTTTAGTTGTTGGATTTGATTTGTTAGGTATAATGGTATTATATTCCTTGTTAAATTTCTGTTCTATTGTATATTTTAGGTGTTGGATTTGATGTTACTAGGTATAATGGTATTAATCTCATGGATTATATAAACATATCAGAGAATGATGCTCAAGCTCACCCCACCTCAAATAATCATAATAAGACGTTGGCATTGGTCATGGATGGTAAGTCATTATATATTGTTTATTGTTGAAATTTACCATTCTGACTTAAAAGGGTCATACCATCATAAGTTAAAAGGGGCAATATATACCATCCTACTTTTGAAGGCTCAAAGTATACCACCCTTTTAAGGTATCAAATATACCATCCTTCTCTTTTAAGGTATCAAAATACTATCCTAACTTTTAAGGTATCAAATATACCATCCTACTTTTGAAGGCTCAAAGTATACCACCCTTTTAAGGTATCAAATATACCATCCTATCTTTTAAGGTATCAAAATACTATCCTAACTTTTAAGGTATCAAATATACCATCCTAACTTTTAAGGTATCAAAATATACCATCCTACTTTGAAGGCTCAATATATACCATCCTAACTTTAAAGTAACCAAAATATACCACCCTAACTTTTAAGGTATCAAATATGCCATCCTAACTTTTGAAGGCTCAATATATACTATCCTCACTTTAATGTTACCAAAATATACCACCCTAAAAGGTATCAATATATACCATCCTAACTTAAAAGGGTCAATATATACCATCCTAAGTTTAAAGTATTCAATATATACCATCCTAACTTTAAAGTTACCAAAATATACCACCATAACTTTTAAGGTATCAATATATAACATCCTACATTTGAAGGCTCAATATATACCATCCTAACTTTAAAGTTACCAAAATATACCACCATAACTTTTAAGGTATCAATATATAACATCCTACATTTGAAGGCTCAAAATACTATCCTAACTTTTAAGGTATCAAATACTATCCTAAATTTGAAGGTATCAAAATATACCACCTTAACTTTGAAGGTATCGAATATATCAGCCTAATTTTTAAGGTATCAAATATATCATCCTAACTTTCAAGGTATCAAAATACTATCCTAACTTTTAAGGTATCAAATACTATCCTAAATTTTAAGGTATCAAAATATACCACCCTAACTTTTAAGGTATTAAAATATACCATCCTAACTTTTAAGGTATTAAAATATACCATCCTAACTTTTAAGGTATCAAAATATACCACCCTAACTTTTAAGGTATTAAAATATACCACCCTAACTTTTAAGGTATCAAAATATACCACCCTAACTTTTAAGGTATCAATATATACCATTCTAACATAAAAGGGTCAGAATATTCTGGGGTATGGTTAATTGCTAACCGAATAGTTACTCACAGGACAAATGTTCATTGGACAGTTGCTCACAGGACTAATTGCTCACCGAACAGTTACTCACAGGACAAATGTTCATTGGACAGTTGCTCACAGGACTAATTGCTCACCGAACAGTTACTCACAGGACAAATGTTCATTGGACAGTTGCTTACAGGACTAATGTTCACCGCACAGTTGTTCACAACAAATGTTCACAGGACAGTAATAGCTCACAGGACAAATGTTCACTGGACAGTTGCTTACAGGACAAATGTTCATTGAAAGTTGCTCAGAGGACAAATGTTCATTGGACAGGTGGTCACAGGATAAATGTTCACTGAACAGTTGCTCACAGGACACATGTTCACTGGACAGTTGCTCACAAGACACATGTTCACTGGACCGTTGCTCACAGGACAAATATTCACCAGATGTCTGATTGGAAATAGGAATGGTTCAAATTGATGCTATCAGTGATCTGATACACATAATAAAATTAAAAAACCTCTTTTAACCTCACTTGACAAGACGAAAATTTGGCTTTTCATTTATTGAAAATTTTGGGGGTTTTTTTTATTGTAGAAACAGTGAGACAGATAGTTCTTCCAGATAACATAGCAGAGCTAGCTTTAAAACTTATTTCTAATACTTCCAAAATTTCATTTTTGGCTACTGTAAAACAAGAGATAGGTAACAGTGGAAGCATCATAGCTCTCTCTGCTGGAATGCTAAGGTAAGCATGTGGACATTTATATTCTTTGTTTTTTTGGGTGGTTTTTTTTTGGGAGGGGGGGGGGGGGGTTTGGGGGAGGACTGCTACCTTTGTAAGTCAATGTGCTTTCACATGGGTATGAAAAGGTTCAGGCAAAACATGGGTCCTATGATAATAAAGATTACATGGAACACAATATTAATTTGTACAATGTAGATTGTTGAAACGTGTACAATTAAACTCAGTGATAGTATACCATAAAATTACTTAAAACTCTTAGTTTTAGTGGATTTGCAAGAACCTCAGACGTCTGATTAAAAATTTGAATGGTGAAAATTAATGATATCAGTGTTCCAGGTTACAAAACCTCTTTACAATTTCTTAAATGTGATATCTACCCCTAAATTTCACTTAAGGACATAATAGAAAAATGAGAGTTTTCAGGCCTCTAACTTTACATTGGTTTTATAAATTACAATTCATCTGTTAAAAAAACATATCATTCTCTATAAAGGCAACCATTTATAGTAAAATAATAGCTGGAGTTCTTGCATCTAGATTTTATTGCATCTGATTTAATTAAGTTTTCTGTGCTAGCAGTTTGATTAATTTCCTATCTGTTTTTGATCTTATTAATCTATACTGCATCACTGGTTTTATCTAATGATACCAAGCCATTGATCAATTTATGTTATATCTCAAGCTCTTAAAGGGATTGTAAAGAGGTTTTCGAAATTTTGTATGTGTATCGTGGACACTGCCAGCATCAATTTACACCATTCTGATTTTCAATCAGACAACTGTGGTTCCTGCAATTCCACTAAAACTAAATGTTGGATGATGTCACTAATCGCGATGGGTCTTATGTCATAAAGAAGATTTTGGGATTAGTGATGCCATCAAACACTTGGTTTTAGTGGAACTGCAGACTCCACAGACCTCTGATTGAAAAATGGAATGGTGCAAATTGATGTGTCCTCAATACACAATGTAAATTTTTTTTAGATAACCTCTTTACAATCTCTTTAAACTATCTACATCTCTTGCTACTTTGAAGTCCTGTGTAGAGACATGTTTGTATAATCACTACAAATAGCTTATCTTTCAAAGACCAAACAGGCACTTTGGGTATTTTTCTGCCCCTCCAGAATCCCTGATCATAACCCCTATTTCCTTATAAATCCTTACTTCGTGATTTAAGATTTTTCCTGAAATCTCTTTTATGTTGGAGAATAGCCTGACTGAATAGAACAACTTAAATTGAAATTACTTTCAAAATTACCTCCCAGGTTGAAGAGCTTTGTTCTACAGTGTGAAAGGCACTCTATAAATAGACTTATTAATATTATGATATTTGTAGATTTCTTGATATTGAAAGCCGAGGTGGCAGAGATGAAATACGGTTTCATTATACACATAGAACACAAATCCAAGTTGAAACATTCCCCTATAGACTAGGTGATAATACATGGCATAAACTAGCCGTAATCCTCAACGACAACCAACTCAGCCTATATATTGATTGTAATAAGATATATGAGAGAACCATCGAACCGGTAGATCGTACCTTTAAAGCTGGTAAACTCTCTCTATTTATTGGACAACGCAACCGACACCACGCCTTCTTTAGGGTAAGTCTTGAAAATATTTTTTTTGTCTCAGTTATTGGACATATTTCTGTATGTTTCACTAGGGTCTAGGGTATAAATCAGGCAGTTGAATTCGTGTTATGCAAACAATAGACCACATGCATGACTTGAGTTTGACAATTGTTAGGACAAACCACTCAGATTACAACTATTAAAGTTGTGCATCATGTGATACACAAACCACCTCTATGACATCATGACCGATCTTTCTTATAAGATTTGAGTTGTTTTTTTTATGAGGGTGTCTTCACTTATCTTCAATGATCTGACAATAGTTATACATCTTGTGTTCTAAGTCATTTATCAATAGTCAACCAATCAAATTCTATGTTCAATTCAGAATTCCTTTTAATATGTAAGGAAGTCTGGGATATGCATTGTCAAACGTTGACTGTCTTATCACTTTTAACAGTGTTTTTGATTGGTTAACACAAATTATGACAATTTAATATGATGCTACTTGGTCAACTGCAGAAAAAACACCAGATTTCAAACAGATTATATATAAGGCTTTGCTTATGTATTAATATAGAATATATAAAAAGTACCTACTATATTTAATCTATTTATAACAGGGTTATTTGAAAGATATAAGAATTGTTGGGAATGATCATGGTCATCTATTACAATGCAAGAAAGAAAATTCAGGTGAGTTCTTTCTCCTTTTCTATTGATTTTACTTTTTTAATGTCAAATAGTGCTGGCATTTAACAATGAAATGAAACGAATAGAGTTTACTTCTCTGCACCATGTGGGCTAATGAAGACGGGCAAAGCCATGCAGTGTGCAGGGAAATTTTGCCAGGACAGCAGCATTAGCCTGCTATTTTTCTATTTCCAACTGTCGAGGGATCTTTAATGTGCGTGCACAGCCTGTAGCACACTTGGCCTTGATTTATTGTCCCATCCGAACGATTTGACGCTGCATCACTGACAAGAATTGAACCTTGGACCTTCAGGTTAGCAAGCAAGTGTCTAACTCACTGAGGCACTGTGGCTCCCTCTAGCACATCAATACAATAAAAAAAAATAAATTGTTCTATGATAAGTGTATTGTATCATGTATGAATACAACACAATACCAGGCATTATAAAAAGTGTCACTGTGAACATTAACTTGGAAACATTATCTATAAATAGTCTATCAACAATAATAATTATTGACTTGAAAATATTAAGACCAAGCAAAGATGATTTTTTTTATATGGAAATGCATACTAAGTTGATATTTTAAACATTTTTTAAAGGAATAGAACGTCTTAGAATACACTCGTCCTATGGCTAATATTTGTATTTAAGAGTGACCATTGGTTAAAAATAAGTATGCATCCCACACTCTATCAATTTTCAAAAATCCACTATAAAGTTATTCAGAATTTATAAAAAAAAGTGAGCAAGCAATGAATCCAATCAGTTTGAGAAAAAAAAGCGTCTGGGTAATCAGGAAAAAAGGAAAAAGAAAAATCCTATCAATGTGCCTGCGCAAAATGGCAATCATTAAACAAACAAATATACAAACAAACTTTGACAATGATTAATATTCGTTGAAAAATGTGTCAAGTACGCGGGAAACCCCGTATGAGAGTTACTTCCCTTTATGATTACAACTGATTTCCTAGACTCACAATTTGAAAATCGCTGTATGGATGTATTCAGCGTTTTATGATTAATGACTTGATTTTGAGGATTTATCGGATTATAGAGGGATTTTGATGTATAGTTATGACACCAGGTAAGTCTACTGATGGATATATACGAAATTAAGATTTCATTTTCATTCTAAGACGTTCTATTCCTTTAAAGACCAAGTTCCCTAGTCAAATTCCTGTATCAAAGTTAATAATGTTAATGCTTCCTTTGAGAGTTCACATTTTACCACCTAATTTTAATGGGACCCAAGGGGGAATCTACCATATCATCTGAATATTTCTTGTAATTAATTGTTATTGTTACATGTTTGTAAGACAATAATAAAATATTTTCACTGTTAAAATAGTGCTCAATACAACAATTGTAGAGTGATATAGAACCTGAAACATGTTGTTACTCAGAATTTCATGCTAGACGATCTTCAGAAAAACACATATGGAAATAATTATTAGTGTAAAGAAATGGTTATTGTTCTATTATCCTATTGTCAATGTTCTATTGTCAATGTTCTATTGTCAATGTTCTATTGTCATAGTTCTATTGTCAAAGTTCTATTGTCAATGGTTATTGTTGCAGGTTGCCCGTCCATTGCTCAATATGAATATTTAGAAGACAAATTGAATAGTCTCTATACTGAATACAACAATATGTCCACTAAGGTAATCTTATCTATCATGTGTCATTGTCAAACTAATTTGAGTGCATTTTATTCAGACATTAATTGTGATACTGTCAAACCACCTTTTAGTATAGTAAATTTGAGTGTCACATATAGAACGAGGCATAATTGTGAAGCTCAGAATAGACTCACTAGAACCTCAAATAAAAAATATGGTTTTTGAAAATAATGATAAAAAAAAAACATGTTTAATTTGATTGGTTAAAATTAATGTCATTAGAACAGGAGTGGGGTAGAAAACTTGTTAGATTACAAAAGAGACGAAAACTATCAGAAATAAAATAATGTGAAATTGTAATCAAATTTTGATTAGATTATAATAAAAATACCTTTCATCTACCATAGCTAACAAATGCAGAGAAACATATAAAAGATTTACAGAATTGTAACTGTTTAAATACCTGCTATGTTAATGGTACTTTATATAAAGAGGGAGATATTTGGAAAAAAGAAAAATGTTCTATATGCAATTGCAAGGTAATATTCTTTTATCAGAAAATTTATTTATCAAACAAGTCTAAATATATCATTCAACAAACCTTTAAGTGAGATAACTGAAATATACTAAAGAAATTTAATAATGATTTACAAAACTATTTATTTTGTTCCTAGTCTACATTAATTACTGTGGCAGATGTTGATTTGAATTCTTGATGCCAACCTGCATTTGTAGACTCAACATCCCTTTTTGGGAGTTCACATAGCTAATATGTATATTCCCTCTTGTCATGGTTTTTAACTGATGTTAATGGTTATGTTAATGGTTATGTTTATGGTTATGTTACAGAATTCTTCAGTAATGTGTAATAGAGTTGAATGTCCTGATATAAAATGTTTAAAACCTTTTTCACAAAAAGGTCAATGCTGCCCATCTTGCTTAAGTAAGTACAGACCAGCAAGGTTTACAATATATTCCACAATATCTGATATCATTATGCCCCAATAAAGACTGAATACTTTATCTGATATCATTATGACCCACTAATTACTGAAAACTTTATCTGATATCATTATGACCCAATAAATAGAAAAAGCTTTATCTGATATCATTATGACCCAATAAACACTGAAAACTTTATCTGATATCATTATGACCCAATAAACACTGAAAACTTTATCTGATATCATTATGACCCAATAAACACTGAAAACTTTATCTGATATCATTATGACCCAATAAACACTGAAAACTTTATCTGATATCATTATGACCCAATAAATGCTGAAAATTTTATCTGATATCATTATGACCCACTAATTACTGAAAACTTTATCTGATATCATTATGACCCAATAAATAGAAAAAGCTTTATCTGATATCATTATGACCCAATAAACACTGAAAACTTTATCTGATATCATTATGACCCAATAAACACTGAAAACTTTATCTGATATCATTATGACCCAATAAATGCTGAAAATTTTATCTGATATCATTATGACTCAATAAACACTGAAAACTTTATCTGATATCATTATGACCCAATAAATGCTGAAAACTTTATCTGATATCATTATGACCCAATAAATGCTAAAAATTTTATCTGATATCATTATGACCCAAGAAATGCTAAAAACTTTATCTGATATGATTATGACCCAATAAATACTGAAAACTTTATCTGATATCATTATGACCCAATAAAATCTTCGTAGATCTATGTTATCGGTCTGCAATTGAAGTATTGAGCACTATTTAACACTGAAAACATTTTGCTATTGTTATTTTTGTTATTTTGCAGTGAGTTGTTTTTATAGTGGACAGTATTATAGTCATGGGGAGAATTTTCAACCCAGGGTTTGTGTCAAATGCATCTGTGATGTAAGTACCATTCTTCAAATTCCTTGTCATTCAGATGTCACTTCAAGCAAGCTTAGTGCTCTTGTTGAGCTAAATTCAGATGCCACTTCTTGTGATAGAGTTCTCATTGAGGCTAATTCAAATGTCACTTCATACAAGCTAAGTTGTCTCATTGAGCCCAATAAATAGTCTCCTTGGGGTTGATTCCAAGTTGTCTAATGAGTCTTTTAAGAGTGTCCTCATTAAGAAAGATGGAATAATTTTCTAAGGGAGAGGAAAAGAGAGATTTTGTGGTCAAGAAGGCATATTTACTCTTTCTACAATTTTTTTGAGAGCGTTTTATTCAAGATGTGTAACAGTGATTGCATAATAAACCATGGCCTAAGCATATAATGTGGCTAAAGTCCATATTTGACTTTGTAAAATGCAGCTACCTTGAATCTTGAACTGGTGGTATATTTTCTTTTGAAGTTAATGCATTAATGTTTAATTATGTAACTAAACAAAAACTGGATTAAAAAGAAGAATTAGGTTTCAGTATTGTTCCTGTCTTTGAATTATTAATATTTGTGCTTGAATCTTGTGTTATTTGTTGTATTGTAGAATGGTGAAACAATCTGTTTGAAACAAAACCCTGAAGAAATTTGTCCAAAATTAAATTGTACTAGTAATGATACAATACATGTTGAGGGAGAGTGCTGTCCTATTTGTAAAGGTAGGTAACGTCCTATTTGATACGAGTTGAGGCACAATTTTGTCCTATTAATGAAGAGGCATAATGTTGTACTAATTGTAAAGGTAATCTTCTATTGATACAATACATAAGTATTTGTAAAGGTAATATTTGTATTTAAAACAATACATGCAGAGACAGAATGTTGTCCTATTTGTAAAGGTAATATCCTATTTGAGACAATACATCAGTATTTGTAAAGGTAATGTTCTATTTGATACAATACATGCAGAGACAGAATGTTGTCCTATTTGTAAAGATAATATCCTGTTGGATGCAATACATCAATATTTTAAAGTATTTGTTAAGGTGATATTCTATTTGATACAATACATGTTGAGGGAGGATTTCAAAGTTTTATGTCTATAGAATATTTGATCAATTTTTAGGAACTGATTTTTGTGGTGAAGGAAATGATTGCCATGTTAATGCAGTCTGTGTTAATTTGTTAACTAAATATGCTTGTCAATGCAATGAAGGTTACCAAGGTGATGGTAGACATTGTGGAGGTAAGAAAATTATTTGCATTGAGGAACATTGAGATCAAAACTGTTCCAGAGTATGCTGTATTTTTTTATTATTTAATTGTGAATGAACTTGATTTTTGAGTTTTATTCTTAAAAGTGATAGGGTAGCTGAAATATAAGAAATATGTTTCCAATATAGCATTTAAAAGGGATTTTAAAAAGGTTATCTAAATTTTGTTTGTGCATCAGGGACACTTTAGCATCAATTTGTATCAACCAATTTTCAATCAGATGTCTGTGGTTCCTGCACTTCCACTAAAACTTAATGTTTGATGATTTCACTAATCCCAAATTATGCTCGAATCACATAATGATTAGTGATGTCATCTAACACTTAGTTTAAGTGTAATTGCAGGAACCACAGATGTCTGATTGAAAACTGGAATGGTTCAAATTGATGCTATCAATGTCCCCGATACACATAAAAAATTTAGAAAACCTCTTTACAATCCCTTTAAAGATTCCAATATCTTACATAGACCATAAATAATCCATGAATAAGATTGAAGCCATTTTGATAAAGTTGTCCCAGGGTGATAAATTATGGGATGTTATGAGATTATAATGATCATATTATGAATATAATGGTAATGAATGAATTTGAATTAAAATATGGTTTTCAGATATAAATGAGTGTCTTTCTGAAGGCGGTGAATTTGGACATTATTGTGGCAGGAAAAAGACCTGCTTAAATACCATTGGATCGTATAAGTGCTTGTGTTTGGATGGGCAAGAGGAAAATGAAGATTTTTCGTGTCCTGCGTCACGGAAGGGACAGTCGGCAGGGAATAATAAACAATTTGAAAGATGGTTGTGCCTTATTCTTTTATTTATATATAACTTTTATATTTATTAATTTTCGTTGTTGTCATTTTATTTATTTAAATTATCGTTGTATGCCATTTTGTCAACGAAAAGTATATTATTGATATGATCTACCTCCAGGCTTGTCAATTACTTTGATAGTCGAGGCAGTCCTCTTTAAATATGGTACGAAAGTAGTGCTAAAACTTAATGATATCATGCTATTATAGGCAGTCCCATTTAAATATGGTACGAAACTAGTGCTAAAACTTAATGATAGCATGTTATTTTTATTATTTGTCAATTACTTTGATAGTCATGGCAGTCCTCTTAAAACTACATAACTAGTGCTAAAACATAATGATATCATGCTATTATAGCATGTTATTTATATTATTTGTCAATTACTTTGATATTTTGGAGGCAGTCCTCTTTAAACTGCAAAACTAATGCTAAAACTTAATGAAAGCTTGCTATTATAGCATGTTATTTATATCAACTAACTAGTGCTAGAATTTGTGCTAAAAGATATAATATCCATATGCCATTATAATAGCAGGTATTAATATAACATAATATTTTGATATTTGAGGCGGTCCTCTCTAAATTACTCGAGCATAAACTTGCTAATGAGATGCTTTTATGGCAGGCTATTTGTCATTTGATAAGTCCCTTAATATATCACTAGTGCTAAAACTTAATGTAAGAATAGCACGCTACTAAGGGAGGTTATTCACAATTTTATAAATATCTTGATAGTGCTAAACCTTACTTATATTACTATTTATAACAGGTTATTTTCATAACTTGATTTATTTCTCTTGTAGATCTAAAGTTCTAGATAATGATGTCAATTGTTATCTTCATGTAAATATGTTATATATATGTATGCATACTACAGTGTATGTCTTCTTTCAGTGTAGTTTATACAATTTGGGCTGTCCTTAATCAGCCAACGAAGAGTTAATATTTAAATAATATTTATTGGAATTGTAAGGATGTTTTCAAAATTTTTTTATGTGTATTGGGGACACTGCTAGCATCAATTTGCACCATTCTAATTTTCGATTAGACATCTGTGGTTCCTGGAATTCCACTAAAACTATGTGTTTGTCAAGACCTTGTCCTTATGTGATAAAGCATATTTTACAGTTAGTGACATCATCAAACTAAGTTTTAGTGGAATTGCAAGAACCACAGACTTATGATTGACAATTCGAATGGTGCAAATTGATGCTATCAGTGTACATCATACACGTACAAAATTTTGAAAACCTCTCTACAATCCCTTTAATGTTGCCATAGCGATTACCAGTCCTGTATGGCTGTGAATAATGAAAGTGGTCAGAAGACTAAAAGTAATTGCAACTCAGTTTTGTGTTCTTATTCATAACCATATGGAACTGATGATACCTATGGTGTGAGGGCCCTTTAAGACTAAGCCACTGCTTTCAGTAGTCCACACATTGACTGTCATTATCGCTTCTAATGTTGTATATTAATAATGTTCTAAAGATAAGTCTAAAGATTTTTTCATCGTTGATCCATAGCCTGAATCACTGCCTGCTTTTTTGATGAGGATCAAAATATGTGTTTTTGCCAAACCTGCCAAATTGCCCAGCACTGTGTTCACTTTACATAATGAATTTTTGAATTTTGGTGGGAAAAGTTACATCTTTTGATTATGTGATATATAACAGAGTGGCTATAGAAGAGTTGCCTTTACCAAATAAGGTCGCATATATAATTAGCCTGACAAGTTTCGTGCCTCGTGGCCCAGATTTTATACCAAGGTGGTGCATTTGGGTCCCGTGGACTCAGATTTCTAAGAGCTGGGGTGCCCTCTAAATGAAAATTGGAAAATTAATAGCTCAGAGAACTTAATTTTTAACGATTTTGGATTTTGGTTTTGTTCGAAGACACTGCAAATTAATCAATGTTTGCCGGCCTGAAGAAGGTTTACTAGGGCTTAATTCTCAATTATTTGGGCCCAGTCCCTATGGACCCCACCCTAACGACAGGGCCGCAAGTATGTCAGATGAGATTTATTGATGACTTGAATGTTAAGTATACAAGTTCCACTTGTTTTAAATAGTGAATTAAAAAAAAAAAAATGTCAATGTTTCATGTAACTTCTTGAAGCTCTGCAAATATATCAGCTTTTGTATAAGATGCATTTTTATCAAGTTAATAAGAATCAATGTTAATATTTATAATGATTTTGTTATATGTAATTCATAGGAATTGGTTAAAGTTAACCTTTTCCTGAAGCTTTTGAAAAATTTAGAATTCTTAATTACCCCTTGAGTCCCATTTGTAATAGTTATATTATAAATCATATGATCATGAATTATAAGTTATAAAATAATGTTTATAAATTATCATGTTATATTATCAGTTATATATTGTATCATGTTATATTAATATTGTTTATTTCAGCTTGTTGAAGTCTGAAATATTTCTGGTGTGGATACCATACAAATTTAAGTATGGTTCTTATATGGAAATAACAAACAAAAACGTAGTTCACAGCCAGTTTGAATCACTATATCTACTTAAGTTACATTTTTAAACAGGCTTCAATATTTCAACTAAGCCTTAAAATCGCATCAACAAGTCTTAAATAAAAACCTTTTTTAAAATTTGGGGATTCAAAATGGCTGTGAACTACGTTCATGTGTTATATCCATGTAAGAATCATACATAGTTTTGTATGTATGGAACATGCTGGTGATTTAATTTTATGCAAAATAACTGCATTTTTTTGTGTTTTGCTGTATGCAGAGTTAAAAAATGTGCCCATTTATTTAAAAATAGCCTTCAATGTGATTGGGTCTCATTTATTAATGTACAAAGTTTCTTTACCGGTGATAAGTACAGTTTTGGTTCCTTCGTTAGTATCGAATTTACCCGATAATTTTTGTCTGAATTGAAAGATCAGCTTCGAAATAGTGATGATAGTCTAAGAATCCATTTTCCATTGATAAAAACATTCACTTTGGTAATGTTAATGTGGTTAAAACTCTGAAAACTTTATCTGATATTATTATGACTCAATAAATACTGAAAACTTTATCTGATATCATTATGACTCAATAAATACTGAAAACTTTATCTGATATCATTATGACTCAATAAATACTGAAAACTTTATCTGATATCATTATGACCCAATAAACACTGAAAACTTTATCTGATATCATTATGACCCAATAAACACTGAAAACTTTATCTGATATCATTATGACTCAATAAATACTGAAAACTCTATCTGATATCATTATGACTCAATAAATACTGAAAACTTTATCTGATATCATTATGACTCAATAAATACTGAAAACTTTATATGATATCACTATGACCCAATAAAGACTGAAAACTTTATCTGATATCATTATGACCCAATAAACACTGAAAACTCTATCTGATATCATTATGACCCAATAAACACTGAAAACTATCTGACATCGTATGACCCAATAAACACTGAAAACTCTATCTGATATCATTAAGACCCAATAAACACTGAAAACTCTATCTGATATCATTATGACCCAATAAAGACTGAAAACTTTATCTGATATCATTATGACCCAATAAACACTGAAAACTCTATCTGATATCATTATGACCCAATAAAGACTGAAAACTTTATCTGATATCATTATGACCCAATAAACACTGGAAAAATTGATGCATTTTGTAGAGTCATTTGTCTTGTTGATTTCCCCATAATGATAAGATCCACATTCGTTGTAAAGAGATTGTAAAGAGGTTTTCTTAATTTTTTATGTGTATCTGGGACAATTTGCACCAATTTTCAATCAGACATCTGTCGTGAAGGGTCTATGTGATTATTTTGCAATGAGTGACATCAAACAAACACTGTTATTTAGTGGAATCACAGGAACCACAGATGTCTGATTGGAAATTGGAATGGTGCAAATTGATGCTATCATTGTCCCCGATACACATACAAATTAAGAAAACCTCTTTACAATCCCTTCAAATAAGTTTTTCTAAGACAATCAGTAACTTACTGTTTTGAAGCTGACAATTCAATAAAAATCATTGGTCAAATTTAATTTAACACATTACTTATAAGGACACTGGGGTTGGTATATTCAACCATCAATTGTTTGGTCAGGCTGAATATTAATGCCAACTGTATGATTTCTATGTCAAAATGAGGAATTATTATATTCAATGTAGTTATTATATATTAGCTTCATGTTCATTTAAAGGGACAGATTCGCCTTTTCGGTTGTTGATTTGGGTCTTGAATATATGTAAATAATCCTCAGAAATACTAGAAATGTACAAAAATTGCACAATTTTTTTCAAAAATTCCCCAAACTAGGAATTTCATTTTATATAATATGTCATTTCTATATGTGGCAGAGTCTCAAGGAAAGATGACTGGTCTTTTAAACATTCAAACACAGAAAATTCTGGACACATGAAGTTGAATGCTCAAATTTCGACAGCGAGTTGTGAACATTATTACTGATTGGCTGAGCTAAAAAAAATCTTGTTCCTGAGACTAAGGTATGATTGATCAAAAAATGGCGAAGCTGTCTCTTTAATATTACTTCAAGGGAGTCATTATTGTAATTATATAATTTTATAGTCTAGCTTTCTCATTCTGAAACACTTGGATACTCATCGCAAAAATAAATATTCTGTATTCAAAGATTTGCTTCTGATTTTAATGAAATTTTGACAATTATTGTTGTAATATTTCTGACCATGTAATTTTGGAAATGAAATGAAATGAATGGAGTTTTACATCCTACTCTTCTAGACCTAATTGGACTTATGAAGACAGGCAACGCCATGCAGTGTGCAATGAGAGAAATAACTCTTTTTGCTTTACAACTGTCAAGGGATCTTTAATGTGTCAGCCCCTCCGATTTGCATCTTTGACAAGCAGAATCTGCATTTAAAAATTTGAAGGTTTTATCTCGACTTATGCCAGGATTGAACCCTGGACCATTAGGTCAGCGAGCAACCGTCTAACTCACTGAGCCACCACGGCTCCCAGAATATATCAATATTATATAGCCTAGATAGTTATTACAGATGATGTTATGTGATTGGTAGAACCTATACAAGCCCTTATATTGGTTGTGAAAATTTGGGATTATTTTTTTTAGATTGCTGATTAAAAGTTTAATTCTTAATTAGTAATATGTATATCTAAAACTGAGCTCTATCTAGTGATATTGTTACAGTAAATACTTAGACAACTTGATTATAGCATGACTAATTAATAGACAATAGAAAATGGAACCTTAACAGAATACTACCTCTTAGAATGGACATAAAATTTAAAGTCTCTTAAACTTGGGCTTAACAGGTGTCATGACTAAAAAATAGAATCTCTCTATAACACGATGTATCCATTTAAGCTAAGCATGTTCCAAAATTACCTAGTTTAATGAATTATATCTTAGTTTTATGGAATAATCAAGTATAGTTATGGCACCAGGTAAATCCACTTATGAACAAAGACTCATTTTAACCAAGATGAAAAATTTAAATTTTTTGGTCATCCTAAGAGGTAGTGTCCCTTTAAAATTGAAATGTACTGGTCTAAAACTGAAATCAATTTTTTTAAACCATGTTGTGTCTGGTTTAAAAAACACAATATTTAATCAAAACGTTCATTTCATCGTTTAGAATAATCATGGAAGTATTTAGCCTGCTTATAGCAGAATTATATTACCAATAATGTTAATAAATTCACCTCTATTCAATATTGTGTTGTTATTTATATTCAATGTTCAGTGTTCAAGGGAGACAACCTATTTTAATCTATAACTGTTTTGTTCTTCAAAGACATTGAAAGGTTGTTTTTCAAAGGACATTTTAATGAGCAGAATGATTTCTAGTTTGTTTACCTGAAAGAAGAAGGATTCAATTACGACGCAGTACCATGGGCTACAAGCTGCATGAAAAAGATATGACAGGAATTGAATGGAGTTTTACGTCCTAGTCTTCTGCATCTAAGTGGGCTTATGAACGCCATGCAGTTCTCAATGAGGGAAATTTTGCCACCCCCATAATTTGCATAATGTATTATCGACATTTGCCTGGGTTGAACCCTGGACAACTCACTGACCCACTGGAGCTCCCTCCCCTTCATGAAAAATAATACACTACACTAATACAATATATTAATATTGTAAATAAAATAAAGGTATATTGATTATAAAACCTTTTATTACTCTCAAACCAGACTATATATTATAATGAATATTAATAGATATTTAAATTTTAATAACAGTTTGTTCATCTGACTGATATTTCGGTACCATGCCTTCTGCAAACCAAGATAACAAGGTAATTTGTTTAATATTACTTTTGAGTTCATATTGTATGTCATTGATATACTTATACTAGCAGCTTCTCTAATGGCAACATAATTATGCCATACATGCCCAATTGGACTGGTGAAGTGACTTTTACAAGTCATATGACATAACGTTAATGTCACAACTTGAAAGTTCAGAGCTGTTCGCAGGGTAAAATTTCTTAACCAAATAATAATTATTTTGATATTTGGATTTACATATCATAAGTTGCCGGAATTTTGAGAGTGTCTATGATATTTTCTTAGACAATGAGCTTTTCATAATTTGGAATTCCAAATAACTAAATAAAAGTGCCAAGCCTGTTGGGAATTATCAATGAAAAATTGTCGTCTGCAAATATTTGGCAATGTAAATATCAATGAGATGAAGAAAAATTATGAAAATTTCTAATACTGTTTTATCACATAATGCTGTATGGTACTAAAAACTTTTCTATTTACATAATATATATAAACCTTAGCAGTCATTATCAAAATGCATTTTATAAAAAATAAAAACCTATAGGGGCCTGCACACCATAGCCATCACAATTAAATGCGTATGGATGAGAATAGCAGTCATGTAACAGTGTTGTGAGTTGCGTTCAGTTCGTTAAGCATGACCACTTTCATTATTCGTAACCATAGGCAACTGGTAATCACTATGGTGCGGAGGCACTTTAAACAAAGCTGAATTTCAAGAAATGACTTTCACTTGCATCTGTGAAATTTTTGGTATAAAATTTGTCATTGTGTAGAATAAGATTATATGTAATAAAAAAGCATGGAATTGAAAAGCTAGCACAAAATAAAGCACTTTGCTTTAAGGATAAATGAAATGAATAAAAACCTGCAATAAACAAATCTGAATTTCCAGAAATGACTTTCACTTGGGTCTGTGAAATTTTTGGTATAAAATTTGTCATTGTGTAGAATTAAAATATATTTAATAAAAAATCAAAAATTAAAAAGTTAGCACAACATAAAGACAATTTTTTAGCACAAATAACATAAAATACACTTAGCACTAAATATTAGCATTTCGTTTTTAGGATTTAAATTGTTCATCAAATATATTCTTACCAATGACCATTATATTTCAAACAACATCAAAATTAATCAGTTTAACTTTTGCTTATACAATTAATTAACGTTTGTTCTTTTGGGTACTCTACTTAACTTAAAATTAGCTATCTTTTATTACTATCTTTCTAAGATTTTACTAAATTTTTTGAAATTTGATAACAAAAATAATTTTCCTAAAAATTTGCTAGATTGTAGAAAATTGATACATATAACTTAAATAAATACAAAAATAATTTTCTACAAATTTGCTAGATTGTAGAAAATTGACACTTATATCTCAAATAAATACAAAAATAATTTTTCTAAAAATTTGCTAGCTTGTAGAAAATTGTAACTTAAATCTCAAATAAATACAAAAATAATTTTTCTAAAAATTTGCTAGATTGTAGAAAATTGAAAAAAAATCTCAGAAACAAAATTAGTATAAATTCAATTAAACCTTAAAAATTGTTCATTAACTGTTAAAAAAAAATATCTTATGAACTATCAAAAGATGACATATTCAACAAAATCAACTTCATCAGTTAAGGGTTAATAATAATACTAGTATTTAATGTATCACAGTTATAAAAATACTGGTCTTCAAGGATTTGGCATGAATAGGGTTAATTTTAGATTTAAATATACATAAAAGAAACTAGTATGAAACAGCATTAACCTGGATGAATATTATATACCAACACCACTTTTAACATATAAACAGTACTATATCATTAATATTCAACAGAAATTTTATTTATCCAAAAAAAAAAAACAATTAAAAAATATACAAATGTGCATCAATTTTCAAAATCAAAAGTTTCATAAATATCTGGCTAAGTTATAATAAATCCATATATCAATGAAAAATTCAAAATCCGAAACTTATCCTTAATCCTTAATCCTTAACATCAACAATAAGTGGAGCAGTGTAGGGACTATGACGTATACCAAATGAAAAACTTGGTTCTCTTTTTCTATGACTCCAAACCTATAAAGAAAAAAGTGCGATTTTAATACTTTGCATTTAGAAAAAGATGAGCATAATTCTATTATTTTCTTGGCTGATCAGATATTAATAACTTTGGCTTCTTGGACCTGACTTCATCTGCCAACTGACATCTTCACAATGTCAAGCTATTAAGAACTTATACCTTGACTGCAAAAGCCACTATTACTGTATCACAGAATGCAGCGATTTGATTGGATTCTACGCCAGTAAATACAGCCAATCAATGCCCTTGACAGAAAGGCTGTACACATTATGGCTGTGTGTTCACAGACTTTCTATCGAGGCCTCTGATTGGCTGTATTCGCTGGCATAGAATCCAATCAAACGCTTTATTTACAAACTTTATGATACAATAAAGGTGACTATTGCAGTCAAGGTATAAGTACAAAATTCGTGATAGCTTGACATTGTGAAATTGACCTGCTGGTTGTTGACCCAACCTCATGACAATATTCTTTCCAGAAAGGGTTGACTTCAATAATGAAGAATGATCAACAACACTATAATAGACTCCTGACCACCATTTTTCTGAGCTTACCAGATGAAAAGAGCCTGATCTCACTCAAAACTAATTTTTGGCCCCAATTTCTGTTTTGTCTACAAAATGCAATGTTAGAAGCAAGACTGATCAGGCAAGAAAATAATGTACTGAAAATTATCTAAATATAAATCAAATTGTTATCAACAAATATATATAAATTACATGTATTATATCAATAAATTATATCACAATACAATGCGTATCGACTGATTACAAACATTCATTTATTTGATCTGAACTTATATTAAATGATTATTTCATAAATGAAAATAATTGAGAAATTGATAAAGATCATATTTGTTGAAATTATTCTAATCTATAGTTGAAAAAAAAAAAGTTCAAGAAGTTCACAATTCTATTCATGGATGGGTTCATTTTCTACAGGTGCTACAAATATAACGGGGCAAAAATATAAATTGGAAACATTTAAAAATCTACATTACAAGATTATAGGGATATTTTTTAACTGCGATATCATAATGGTTATAATAATATTGAAGTGGATATGGGGATATCATAAAGGTGATAATATTATTAAAAGTATTAAGGTGATATCATTATTGTGATAATATTATTGAAAATAACAAGGATGTCATCACCTTGGTAAATTTGTATTGATGATATCATTATTGTGATTTTATTATTTAAAGTGGATTTCATTATTGTAATAAAATTACTGAAAGTTATGAGGATATCATTATGGTGATAAAATTACTACAAAAAATATCAATTTATCAGTATGGAGATAAGATAATTGAAAGTAAAGGATTTCATTACCATGACAATATTATTGAAAGTGCGGAGGATATCATTATTGTGATAACAATATAGAAAGTAAGGAGGATATCATTATTGTGATAATATAGAAAGTAAGGAGGATATCATTATTGTGATAATATAGAAAGTAAGGAGGATATCATTATTGTGATAATATAGAAAGTAAGGAGGATATCATTATTGTGATTTTATTATTTAAAGTAAAGAGGATTTCATTATTGTGATAAAATTACTGAAAGTTATGAGGATATCATTATTGTGATAACAATATAGAAAGTAAGGATAATATTATTTAAAGTAATGATGATTTCATTATTGTGATGATATTAATTAAAGTAATGATGATATTATTATCATTATGGTGATGGCATATTGGAAGTAACCATTAATGACAATATCATTATGGAGATAAAATTACTGAAATTTATGAGGATATCATTATGGAGATACATCTTTCGAAAGTAAGAAGGATATAATTATGGTGATAAGTAATAATAATGACACATATGTTGATGATAAAGTTTTAAGAAATGTAATAATAAAAACAATTTTTTTTTATCAATTGATAAGTAATGAGTTGCTCAACAAAAAGTTAATTTTCTTATGTTATCAAATGAATCTTCTTTGTTATTAAATCTAATGCATGTTCTGTATCAAAAGCTTTCTGAAGTCGTCTATACTTCAGTAAGCTTATTACAGTAATAAGCTGAAAAAATTTGTGCAAATTTCTAAAAGCAAACAAAATGTCACTACCATGAAAAATTCTAATTTTTTGTGTACAAAAAAATTGAAAAACAAATTGCATTTGCAAAATTTTGAAATTAATAATAAAAGTAACTGTATATCTTAAAGGGATACTACCTCTTATAATGGACATAAAATATAAAGTCTCAAACTTGGTCAACTGATGAAGACTCATTTTGACCAAATTTTAAAATTTCAATTTTTTGGTCATCCTAAGAGGTAGTATATCTTTAATTTAATATACTTGGGATAGAGATTTTTCAAATTTGAACTTAATTGTTATGTCAAAAATTTGGAATGGAATAATCAGTTTGTTTAAAAATAACCTTCCTTGAGCATAGACTGCCTAGTCAAAAGCTTATTTCGATTTTAGATTTTCATACTTTAAAAAAAAACACACTAAAATAAACACTAAATTAGGGTGTATATTAAAATAAAAAATCTAAAAAGTATTAATTATAAACCTGAAAGCAAAATAAAATGTATAAACCCTTCTTTAATAAGAGTCGCTAATATAATGTACATATAAGCATAAAATAAGGCTAGCCTAATAATAATAATAAATAAAAAAAATAAATTTGAAATTCATACATTATGTTCAATTTTCATCAGCAGGGAAAAAATTTCCTGCATACTGTGAATGTCTGATTCCAAATGAAAATCCTCTATGCTGCTTCATCTTTGGAAAACAAAAGACGTTTTATTAAGACTTATAAAGTATACCACATTACCAGCAAGTTTTTTAAAGTTTTAAATATGGTAGATGCATTAAAACACAATCTTTGAAGATTACTCCGAAACATCTGATTCTATTCCAGACTCTGATAGCTATTTTGATAGTTTTCGGCTGGTGTAGAGACTGAAAAACTAGACCCTGTTTCATGGGGATTTTCCAAACCCAGATATATATATATGGATATTTGTGTAGTTTAGTCACATCATCATAATCCCTCTACACCATTTATGTTATGTCTGCAGTTCCATTAAAGTTTTTTTTTTAATGAAACTTATCAAAAGTTGAAAACCTCTGTACAATAGACCTTATTCATGGATCGGCCATATTGAATCCAGAACGAGGCTCATAACGCAATGGTGTCAACGCAGTAAAATCGCCACCTTGACATCTTTAACGCCTCCTTGCTGTTGATTGGGTATTAGTGACATCATATAGGGTATTCCTCCATCTTATCAATGGATGATGTAATTTGTGTTATGAACTTCACTTTCATTGTCTCCAAAACGAGGGGTGAATAAGATCTGTTTCAAGTCACAATTTTACATGGGGACGATTTGATTAGTCATAAACTTTGTGGTAATGAAATTTGAATAAAACAAAATGGCTACTTACATTTTCTGGACTGTAGACACCAGGTCCTGGTTTCTGTGTGGAATCACCAGGCATGTTATTTCTACTGGTCATACTGTAACCTGGTGATCTTACTTTATACACACCAGGATCTACTGAACCATAGTGACTTGGTCCAGGTGTCTGTAATAAATCATGTCAAAATAACATAATTAACATTGTGAACACTCTAAAATAGCTTTAAATCTTTGTGGACACTCTAAATAGCATTAATATCTTTGTGGACACTTTAAATAGAGACATACCCAAGGGAGATTAAAATACCAAATAGCAAACAGAGGAGCCAAAGTGGTTCAGTGATCTAGACAGTTGCCTTAAGATTCAGGATTCATTCCCAGCTTTTTCAACCTGATTTCCCCAACTCGGTTTCAACTCAATCAGTGATGCTTGTCCGAGGCCTGTGCTACAGGCTAACTTCTCGACAGTTGGTAGTGCATGACATTACCAATCGTCTTTAGACCAAACAGAAAAGTTGGATGTAAAAGAACTGGTCTCTGGTGAAGCACAAAATAGACTATAAAGTCTGTAAACTTGGTACACATGTGCTTTAGGCTTTTATGTTGCACAAAAACATTAGCAGATCCATCAGCTTATAATACAAGGCCCTACCCATCTGCAAAAATCTGGTAACCACAAAAAAATATCTGAAAAGAATTGTATGTTCAAAACTTTCACTAAATGTAAAACTATTTTTGACAACTTTTGACATTATACACATGTACCTACTTTTTGTAAATCTTCATGGAAACTACCAATTTTACTTCTACCAGTTAAAGAGTAGATTGGTAATTGGACTTTACCCCCTTGTTTGGTTGGGCCTAACATTGATGGAAGATTGTAAGAATTGGGTCCTGAAATAAAACTTTCTCATTACTGCATGTATTTATTAAATAAGTTATGCTTTATGCTAGGGCAGTACGAGCATATTTTTTCACCTGATCACAACGATTAAAATAACCAACAAATTTTTACGCTTGATCACAAGGGGCATACATAAAAGATTTGCCATGAAAAAATAAGGTTGTGTGCCAATAGCGTAAACAGAGTTTTAAAGGGTTTTCTTAACTTTTTATGTATATCAGGGTAGCATCAATTTGCACCATATCCATTTTCAATTGGGCATCTGTGACTCCTGTAGTTCAACTAAAACTAAGTGTTTGCAGACGTCAATACATCATAAAACAGTTGGTTTTAGTAGAATTGCAGGAACCAGACGTTCCATTGAAAATGAGAATGGTGCAAATCCATAATGACAGTGTCCTCATTACACATAAAAAGTTAGAAAACCTCTTCAATGTAAAAGGTGTCATTTTTTTAATGATTGTGTGCATGCTTAACCTGATGCAGTTCCTCGACTGTGTGAGTCAACTCAGCATCAATTTTTGGGAGTTTACACAGCTGTATTTTTAAGATATATTCTTTTCATATCAAAAAAATATATTCAAATTTGAAAAAGTGCAAACCTGGACTGTTGTCATTTTTTCTTGTTTTATGTCTGGATCCAAAAGAATATTTAGGAGCTACAGGTTTGGATCCATCTCCAGCACCTTCTGGTTTGTAGGCACCCGGACCAGGAGTAAAGAACTGTGTCTGATCTTTTGGTCTACCATACAGGGAATATTTTGGTGTACCAACAATTCCGTCTCTATAAATCTGGTTGGATAACATGTATGCAGGACCAGGTCCACAGTCATCACGGACTTTACCATGCTTTATACCAAAAGAATGAGCTGGATATTTATTATGAACACTTCTAGGATCATGTTTTTCAATGCCCACCAAACCTGGTAGACCATATTGAGGACCAGGGCTGTTGTACATGGCCGCTATGGGCCCTCTTGGCACAGTTGGTGTCCAACTCATCTTTCTGAAAGAGGAATTTAATGAAAAGATAGCTTGGCAGGCAAGATAATATACGCCCACTGGAATCTTTGATTTTAAATAAAAATATTTGGCAGTACAGTAACAATCACCAGTATGAAATATTCAACCTTCAGTTATACACTTTTTGGTGCGATATTGAATAATATTCACCAAGTTTTGCCAAAATCCGGCAAGAATCGTGCCTCTTAGTGTTTAAGAGCTAAAAATTGAAAATGTTTTCAAGAACAAGGGCAATAACTCATACTAAATATTTTTTGATTTTTCTGATTTTCAATAGAGTTCATCCTTGGGTGATTACAAACACTTACAACAAGTTTTGTGAAAATCTGTCAAAAATTGTGTCTTCTAGAGTGTTTACGAGTATTAAGGGATGGACTTCATGTGGGCGTATAATAAAATGAAATAAATGGAGTTTTACGTGCACCTATAATTGGGTTATTGAAAACGGGCAATGCCGTGCAGTTTGCGATGAGGGAAAGTTTTGAAATATTTCATGTTCACAGCCTGTAGCACACAAGGCCTCCATTTTTTTGGATCTAGCTCTTACACTTGCTTTGAAGAATATGTCGAGGGGTAGGCCCACCATTTTAACCTATATGCTGCTTGAACCCTAGTTAACAACTCACTAAGTCAAAGAAGTTGTATAGTAATTGTCTAATCATTTGGAAATATTATCTTCTTATATTTGTGCTCATTTTGGGAGAGGAGGGGGGGGGGGGGAAGCTTTAGGTACAAGTGGAAGAGGGAGAGGGGAAGAGGGAGGGGGGGGTCTAGTTCGAACAGGTGCTGTGAAGAAAATTCCAAGAGCAAAGAAGAAATTCTTACATGTATCACAACCTTTATTCATTAATTGGCTAAATATAAGTCCAATATGACTAATTTATGATCTTATCTATATTGGTCTACCATTTTATTTAAGATGAGCTTATCGAGTATGTCATTGTGATCTCACTAAAAGTTTGAGATCTTCTTTCGTTTCTTTACATTTTCTATTTTCTATAAAAAGCGAAACTGGTACGTAAGGAATAACATTAATTGTAACGTTAACAACTATACAAAGTGAAATACACTCACCTTTTTTTGTTTTTAGCTTTTAAACTTTTATAACGGCCCGTCTATACACCGATTATAATAACCGTAAAAAATAATGTCTAACACAAACAGGCCATCGCTTAGGAAACGATAAACAATATCACATAGTAACGGCTTATAGGACATCATTTCAATATCATGTGACCGTTATATTTTCTTTACATTGGTGACAGTCGCGTAGTTAGTCACATATTGATTGTTTTCGTCCTCGAGATAATACCTCGGTCTAATACTAGCTATTGAGTGCTATATTACTATTACAGTGTGTTATTAGACCATACTGTTATACACCAATCTAGGCCTATACATATAGCTAATAAGGTTTATACGGTGGTTCGTTTAAGACAAAATTGCAAAATCATTTCGAACTGTAGCCAATAAATTTTGTCTACGGTGGTTTGTTTAGGACGGTTGGTTGGCTGACACCAGAAACTGATACCACAGACTAGAACTAAAGGTAAACCGAGGTTTTCTGTAGTACCTGGTTTTTAGTTTACGACCCTTTATTACAATATATCAAACGGTAGCCAACAAGGTTTTGCGGTGGTTAATTTAGGACCCTGGTTTGATTATATTGCACCCAACTGTAAAAATGAACTGAAATGAATGGACTTTTACGTCCTACTTTTCTGCACTATGTGATCTAATGAAGACGGGCAACGCCCGAGGAAATTTCCAATGAAAGGAAATTTGCCAGGACAGCGGCATTTGCCTGCTCTTTTTCTATTCCCAACTCTCGAGGGATCTTTAACATGCACAGTCTGTAGGTCACGGGACCTCGGTTCATTGTCCTATCCGAACGAATGTGGACGTTTTTTCCATGTCAGCCCCTCTTACCTACATCATTGACAAGGGGGAGCTGGGTAAGAAAATGCGAAGGTTTTATCTCAACCTATGCCTTTTTTTAACCCTGGGCCGTCAGGTTAGCGAGCTGAGCCAGTACACCCAACTGTACCTATTAGGGTTTTTATGAATTATATGGCGGTTCGTTCAGGACCCAAGTTTTACAATATATATCGAACGGTAGCCATAAGGTTTATACGGCGGTTCGTTTGGGACCCTGGTTTCACAATATTATATTGAAAGATGGTTTGGCTAGTACGTTTGGTTGGTTTAATTAGAATGGCGCCTGCGTTTGACAGAAACTGAACAGACTGAAAATACATGCGTCTTCATTCCCCAAACAGGTGCAAATGAACAGAGAAATAAAATGAGAATAGTCACAATAAAAAGTTCAATAAAAGCTGTGACAAAATCGCACGGGGTACAGTCCAAGGGAGAAAACTCGAAATATCCTATGGGAAACGAAGTAAAGTAATCGTGCAAGATTACCCTTGAGGTTCTTGGCTCTTAAAACTCCAAGTATCCAAGTAAAATGCAGTGAGCTTTCTCCTTTATAATAATATTAAGATAGTATATTCCCATAACTCCACCCTCAATAGATATTTTTGATATTATGGTTGTATGCAGTAGATGTTTATAATAATTCAAATGGATACATGTAGACCAAAACAACACTGATATTAAGTAATTATTTTTTAAGTAAGGCATTAGTGCAGGGGAAACGCTGAATATTCGTCTAGGGGCCTTCAATATCCTTCTAAGTTATGTCAAATGCATTGAAAAGCATTCACAAACACCAAAAATATAACGTTATTACAATTTCTTTACTATGACGTCATAATCAGTTTAAAGTTTTTGACGTTATCCCGTACGCAAAGCTAAAGACATAATTTTAGTATTCATAAAGTTTCGTGTTTTAAGCGCTTTGCCGTCATACATTTTTTTTTTTAAAATTTGCAACTAAGAACATATTTTCGGGTATAATATTTTATGTGATTTTATACTTTCCAAATTTTACGCAAATTCTAAGCACCATTTGGTTTCTATTAGCAACTATATTGTCAGCGTGTCGGACAGGCTTCAAGTTCGCAGTAGCTGTACAAAGGTAACTTTAATTTATTTCTAATGATTTTTTTAATTGAAAAACTTCATTAAATTAAAAATTATTAAGCTTAATGCAAAATTTGACCTTTTTAAATAATAGCCTATGTGTTCACTTTTAAACAAAATCTTCATTGAATATTTTGCAATTTTTTACTTGTATGAATTTGACTTTAAACGTCTCTTAATAAAGTTTATAGCATATTTGCAATTAGTTTAGTCAATTTAGCTTATCTTTTTTTCAATTTTAGCATACAAAATGGTGTACAACTATACAAAACCACGAGGTCCTATTGCTGCTATGTATAGCAGTCCAGGACCTTGTTATGGACTTCCCAGTCTTGTTGGATTACAAACTCACGATCCAAGAAGTTCTCACAACAAAAATCCAGCTTATTCATTTGGTGTGAGGCATGGTCGATACCGAGATGACTGCAGCCCTGGTCCATGTTATTATCCTGATCCTAAGATATACCGAAGTGGCAAGGATGGTACTCCTCATTACTCTTTGTACAGCCGCCAAGAACATGGTACAGTCTTCAAAACTCCTGGACCTGGTTCTTACAGTCCTGAAAGTTCTGGGCCTTCAGCCAATTTCCGACATCCTGCTTACAGCTTTGGAAACCGCCCTAGACACAGGAAGTCAGATAATTCGCCTGCAGCCAACAGCTATACCTTACCTAACATGATTGGAACCACGGTTCTCAGTGGTAAACGCCAAGCTCCATGTTACACTTTATCTGGAAGGCAAACGACTGGAAGCTTCTCTGAAGATATGGCTCGAGTAAGTTTGATACAATATTTTTCATTCATTCTTTCACTGCATTCATTCATTCATATTCGTTCATTCATATTCATTCATTCAACCCTTCATTCATTCATTCAATTCTAAGTCGTGCCATGTGTGCTTTATTTTCATGTACGCTATAGGTTACTAACTTGAAGCTAAGATTAATGATTTTCCAGATTTGCACACTATTATTTTTGTATTTTTCAGACCCCTGGCCCGGGTACCTACAACACCACAGATCCCAGTATTGTCAAGTGCAAAGCTCCTTTATACAGCATGACCAGTAGAAATATGATGCCTGGAGATACTACCAGGAAACCTGGTCCCGGAGCACATTCACCAGAAATTGTAAGTCAATTGTGAGAAACTTTTATAACTGAACCAAATGATGACTCACTCTCAGTCCCATTCTAGACGATTTGAAAGAATCTTTTTAACCCCAGTAGCTCGAAGAAAGTGTATTCATTTTACATGCCTCTGAGACACTTACAAAGTTTAGAAAGCCTTTTAAAAAAGTTAAATTTTCATAATTGCTTTATTTCAGGTTTGGGGCCACAAGAGGAAACAACCAGAATTTTCTTTTGGTATTCGACACAGTCCCTATTTGGCACCATTGATAGTCAATGCGCAAGTATAGAAACATTGGGTTATTCTACAATACATTTAACAACACAATGTAAAAAATATTTTAGCTTTTGGTTTTAAATCTGTTCTGTAACATTTATGTAAAATAAAATATTTTTGTCTGATCAATTGTTTACTTTCTAGTTCTACCCAAACAGCAGTAATAGATAGCAGCTGTTCCATAACCAACAATCTGAAACTTGTTGACTCTGTCTGCTTTCCCAAAATTTGTTTCCTTTCCTGTTCTGCCGAAACTTGTTGACTTTTTACTGCTCTCCCCAAATCTGTTGAGTCTTTCCTGTTCTCCCGCAACGTGTTGACTCTTTTCTACTCTGCCCAAATCTGTTCGCCTTTCCTGTTTTCCCGCGACGTTTTGACTCATTCCTGGTCTCCCGAAACCTGTCGACTCTTTGCTGCTCTCCCGAAACCTGTAGACTTTTTCCGGCTCTCTCATAATCTGATGACTCTTTCCTGCTCTCCCGAAACCTGTTGACTCTTTCCTGTTTTCCCCCATAACGTGTGACCCTTTCCTGCTCTCTCAAAATCTATTAGCTCTTTCCTACTCTCCCGAAACCTGTTGATTTTTTCTTGGCCTCCCGAAACTTATTAACTCTTTCCTGTTCTTCCAGTGCCTTCAAACAAAACCAAAGATAGATTGCCAGGCAAGATAATTTACGCCCACTGCCGGCTTTCATTTAAAATGAAAATATTTGGCAGTACAGTAACAATCACCAATATACAATATTCAACCTTCAGTCATACACTTCTTTTGAACATTTTGGGGCGGTACTGGACTCAACTAATGTTTCCTAGAAACGCCACTAATTTGCCAGTGAGATTGTCAACAAAATCCCCCCATCTTTCAATCTAATACCACGACCAAAGACTTTATCCCCTTCAACCTTCAACTAATCTTTGATCTCTTCACGGAGCAGACATCTAGTAAACACTGACCAAAATTCAGAACCAAGTGGATTTAGTAGATCAACATGGAAAATGTTCTCATCTGCAATAGATTCCATAAAAAAGTGAACATTGTTAGGTATTATTGGTCGACCGTCAATAAAAAGTAAAATTCTATTTGGCGTAGTTAAAGTAATTGCTGACAAGCAAGTACACATAGTAAACAGGCACATATCAGAATTAAGAAACTGTTGTGTTATTATTAAAACGATTTTCCAACTATCACGAATATCTTCAGCAACGGCAAAGTGAGTATTGTGTCCACCATGCGCAAAACCTAAGTTAACGTTGATCCCTCTTGCAGTAGCAAGTTCGTTTTGTAATTCTCTGAGTACAAATCTAAGGCAGTAATCGCTTTCATCGTGAAAAATAGACAAATCATATCTAAATTCATGTCGTTCTCTCGGACAAATATTGTGCCCTAGCAGCCTATATAGAAACAAACGAATCTTCATCCGATTTTTGGCAAATACAAAAGTGGATATGATACCAACGATGGTAATGAAGAAGCAACAGAGAGCTATGTTCAACCAAAATGATGAGCGACATCGTCGATTGATGGATACCAGATCTTCAAACATTGAAGCTGTGGTCGTCAAGTCACCATCTTCACCAATACATGTATAATTACGACCATCCAGTCCAACTAAAGTTCCATTTAACCACGTAATAAGTTCGATAGAGGAACAGGAACATGAAAAGGTATTGCCATAAATAGAAAGGCTGAAGTTCGAATTGGCCGTTGATGTTCTCTCGAGCATCTGTCTCGTAGCTTGATTCAATGTGGTCAAGGAATTATGCCCGAAATATAAGTTCTGCAGATGATTCAATGAACTCACGTCCGGGATTCGGATCAGCTTGTTGTCTGTTAAAATAATTTCCACTATATTAAAAAGTGACTCAAATATGTCATCTGACAAAAACACCAAATCATTTTGAGAAAGATCTAGAAAATTTAGTCTTGTTAGTGGGGTAAAAAGCCTTTTCCCGTGCTGAAACATAAAGTTATTGTCTAAAAAACATCTGGACAGTCTTAGAGTTTTCAAGTTGGGAAAATCTTGGAAGAAATCTGAATTCAACAGATTTAGGTTATTTACACTTAAGTCCAGCGTTTGAGATTCTCCAAACCACGGATTGAGTGGTTCAGATTGCTAAGTCCAGAAAAAGAAAAATTCAGATATCTCATATTTTCACCACCAAATATATATAGATCAATACCTTCTCCTAGCTCTGCGAATAATCCTGATATATCTAAATATTTCAATTTAGATGGTAAAAAATAGGGTATTGGCACTTGAAAACCACTACTCCGAACGTCTTTGCCTACAAAAGAATCCAAATAACCTGTTCCATACTTCACCTTCGTCGACAAATTCAATATCTCTAAATTTTTAAGTCGCCATAATAGAAATAAACCTATTTTAGAGAACTTACCAGTAAGCGCATTGTCTTGTAATTCAATGGATTTTATACATTTTGTAATCAACGCCGGATATAAAATAAAGCTATCTAAATCAAATTCTACCAGATAATCATTTATCAGATGCAGATTTTCCACGCAAATATTTGCTAGTATATGACCTGTTATTCGGCTATCTTGTGAGACGTACCCGGATTTTGTGCTCAAATAATGTATAGATATGGTTGACATATTCTTTCCTTCGTAGACGTATAAAGCATTAATAATGTCGTTTATAGAACCAGCTCCAAACTGAACTTTATGTAACTGAAACGTTTTTAAGGAAGGAAAAGGTAACAATGATCCAGATTCGAATAATGTCAATATACAACCATCAAAGATTATTGTTTCGACAGTTGCTGAGAAATTAGTAAATGTTACATTCGTGACTTGTGATAATCCGGCTTGAAAATCGCCCTCATTGCCGACTTTTAACGTTTGTAGTTTCTTCATATTTGAAAATTCAGATCCAAAAACAATAAACGGTGTAGTGTCTATGTTGAGATCGAGTAGGTTTGTCAATTTTCCAAAAGGTATATCTCGAATGACTGGGTATTTTCCTGAAAATCTATTAATATCCGATCTGATGGCGAGAGTTACCAAAGATCTCAAGGGTTCAAACACATCATCTGGTAGCGCATCAGCAGTATAATTCAATTTATGTCCAATCATTAACAACGACTGTAGACTCAATAAACCTTCAAAAGCTGAACTCTGTATAGCTGTGAGAGGGTTTTCACCGAGATATAGAATTTGAAGTCGATTCAAATGTTTAAAATCCCCGTTATATAGAATTGTTATGGAGTTGTAACTCAAATCCAGTTGGGTGATGTTTACGGGAAGGTTTTTTGGAACACGAACTAAGTTGAGATGGGAACAATCTACTCGAGTTTCATCTACTTGTCGACATCTATTGCATTTCACCAAACATCCGTATGTAATGAGAATTACAATGTAACGTAACATTCTGGTTGTTTTTGTATCTGTTTCTGAAATACATATGCAATAACAAACATTGATTATACAATTACACAATTATACAAAAGTGAATTAAGCTCTTATAATATAGACCTAGATATTCAATTTGAGCACTCTTCAATTTAGAAGATAAGATGGTATATACTGACATCACAAAGTACGACAAAACTCACGAATCATTGCTTTAAATACCATTTGAACTGAGCACATTAGGTGGAAATGTGACAATAGGCCAAGATAAACATTCGGATTAAAATAGAATCTTTTCATAATATGTCTTATTGCTACTAACGCCCTTTGTACACCATATCTATATAAATATACCAACTTAAAGGGACAGATGCGGCATTTCCGGTAGTAAATAATACCTTGTTCCTCACATTGAAGTGTTTTGAATACAGCCAAGTGTGATCAAGTTTGTTTTTAAAATAAAGGTTTAGCCAAATGTATTTCGTAAACTGATTAATGGAGCATCGAAATTTTCTGTGGGTAGCAAACTTAGTCACACGCGTCACGACATTGTCAGCAAATCTTTCGTCGTCGATTCGTCTGATTGAATTATCTTTTAGCCTCTATCATCCAGTCCTTCTTTGTCTACGCGAAGCTTCGACGAAAGATCTGGGTGTCAGAGACTAAATATCATTTAGAAATAAGTACGACCCATCCCATAAGGTTTATAATGATATTTTATATAGCAGACGATGCGACAGATTTGCTGACCCACAGAAAATGACGACGTAATCTCGGGAATGTTTCACGAAGCATGCGTCCACTCTTCCTTTCACCTTATATTTAAATAATTGGTTATTAAATTACAAACCTTAAAATATAGACTTGATCCACGGCGACAAGAATACACGACTTGTCACATCCATCTCAATATATGTAACAATTGCAATTTTCAATAACATACCATTGTAGCCGTCCTGTATAGAAATTAGACTCACATCTAAAATTAATCTCTTTTCCTATTGAAAATGCCGTCTTACAGGTTATAATGTCCCACTAAAGCAATACTAACCTCAAAATGTCTTATATAACTTCTCTCTACTCATCTATGAACTCAAAATAGCAGTATGCATAATATATAGGTTTTCAGGTTTTTTCGTCATATCACGTGATCCGGATTTAGCCCTATATACTTGTATAACATAGGGTTTTTCCTTCCTTGTTTCTCGCAATTTTTGACGTGAAATACGTGATATACATACAAGGAAGATTCCTCAAATTCATACATTTTTCACAAAAAAAAAAAAAAATAAATAAATAAAAAAAAAATAAATGAGTGAATTTAAAGTAACAACAATAACTAATATGTCGATTCAGACGACTGAAAGATTCTGTAAGCAACTGGATTTTTAACAACTGCACGACTGGAAACTGTCGCTGTTCATGTTCTTCTTTCGAGTACAACAAGATACATAAGCAACATAAGCAATATCACACACGAACGTAGTTCACAACCATTTTGAATCTCTTCTTCGACTAAATAAGTCGAATTTTAAAATAAATTAGGTCTGCATTTATAATCATTTCGTAGTCTGTAAATGAGATTTGAAGGTTTGGTTGAAATTAAATAGCCTTATTAAAAATTCGACTTTTTAAGTCGAAATAGTGATTCAAAATGGCTGTGAGCTACGTTCGTAATGTGTTATTTCCATGTAAGAACCATACGTATTTACTTATGTACCCAGTAGTACTCGACAGAATTACGTAGGTTCGTAATCAACTGGATATTGTCGTCAAAGGGAATGGATTTGCAACCATGCGATTACAGTTGCTACAAGTCACATGCGGAAAAAGTAAGACGTATAATGATTTCTTTAATTTTAACTGATTTTTTTCAAAAGTTAAGGGACAGATGCGCCATTTCTTTTTTTTTTTTGACCAATCATAATAGTCTCAGAAACTGGAATTCTTTTAGCTAAGCCAATCAGTAATAGTGTCTACAGCTTACAGTCGAAATATGAGCCTTCAAATCCATGTGTGTCTAGAATTATCAGCGATTGAATGTTAAAATTAAGACTCGTCAATTTAAAATACTCTGTGATATATATATATAAAAAGTGTGTAAAATTCCTAGTTTGGAGTATTTTTGTATGCTTCTAGTACTTCTGAAGACTCTTTACATATGTTCAAGACTATAATTAAACCCCCAAAATGGAAGACCTTTTCCTTTAGCCCAGAGTTCAACTTAAAGGTGATCAATTTCAATTTTGCTGGAGATGTGCAAAAAACATATGCTCTTGTGCCCCTGGCCCGACGTGTCCATAAACGTCTCAACAACTAGCGAAACATAAATGGATCAGAGCAACGAAATATCTAAGATTGCCCGAATTTCTAACCTAGTTTGTGCCCGAAAAACTTGCTTTCGGGGCTGCGAGGAGGGGGGCGGCTGCCCCAATCTGCCCCTCCCCCCTTTGGCTCCGCCACTGACCTAGAGACCTACAGATACCATATTATCATTAAGTCAATCGTTTAAATTCGATATACTAACGTAATTTCAAAACAGAAGGCGGGTATATATACCATTTAATCACCGGGAGTTAATTTGGCTTAAATTATCAATAGTATCCTGTAGAACACTGGCACTCACGATATCGTTTAGGCCATTTCATACCACAATCAACACGGCGGTACGTCACTTCCGGATTATCCCAACCAAGAGAAGTAATTTGCTGATTACCATTTTCCAAATCAAAGTGAGCATAATATCCGTGCGCGTTCACTTGATTGTAATGGTTTTGTCCACACCAACTCAAATTAGGTGGTTCGATGGGACACAAGTTAGTTATCATTACTGTAATTGGCTGCATCGAAGTCGGCGGGGCTCCTTCATTTTCAATAAACCCTCCTGAAAAAGCAACATAATTATTGAAATAGCATAATAAATTGGCCTTGCCTTCAATTCTCTGTTCTTTATTCTCGCCCTTGTAAGTGTTTAGGGGGACATTATAGTTTCGATTTCGATTTTCTTTGATATCTCGTGCGACGTTTGTAGTCCTTTGTTCGGATATGACGTCACCATCACAAGTAGCTTTCTAGTCAAAGATAATCATAATTCGTTGTCATTGAACTATAAGGCCATAACTGACTCTTTTTCTTGTAATTTACTTTCCAGGAATACGACAAAACCTCACACCAGAAAGGTCATATCTACAAAATATGCCCATTGTTGTCAATGAATGGATGCACATATGACCTTTTAATATATTCGTTATAAATTTGTAAATCTATTAAAGGTTGAGGGTTCAAAATAAGTGTACACATGCGCAAAAAGCATTTAACTCTATAATGAAAACTACCAGTTATGACCTTATAGTTCTATGACATCGAATTATAGTCTGGTCATTTTTTTTCTGAAATTACATGAACCACTGACTTCCATTGGGTAAGCCCGATAAATTTTATGCGACCTGGGAAGTGATGTACGGATGTGGTATATCACGTGCTAGTCTGAAAAACATCTTTCTCTATTCCCGCCTTTGATAGATATCTGACGTTCAGAATAGTAATCAGAGATTCGAGGTACGGGTAGATTTGGACGTTCTTGGAATCCCCTTTATGTGGATATAGTTAATGCAATAAAAAAAACTAGACCTGTAGGGGTCAGTTCATAACATTGACCACAACGTTGACCACACCAAGTTTTACCATCAAAATCAAAAAATCTCTGATTTACAGCTGCTACATAGTTATCTTTATTCCAAAAGAACTGCTTATCCAACCAAAATGGCCCACATCCACATGCACCTTTTCGACCATCATGAAAAACTGTTGTAGAAGCACATCTTCGACCGTTATTCATCAGAGGTTTGCCTTTACATATTGGTTCAGATCGATTTAATAGTATAAACTGGCCTGTAAAAGAAAGGGATAAATTCGCCCAATAATATAATCATAATGCAAGATTTAAGCCATTTATTTTCATAAAAAAAAATATGTGGCGGTGCATCCCAAAGCAAAAACCCCGGACATAATAAAAAAATTTAGCATCCGCCACTAAATCACTATGCATTATTCATTATACTTATTTGATAAAAAATGATACAGTTTTGGAGAATCTTGTTTAAATTTTCTATGTATTACGTAAGGAAATTACAAGAAAGGAAGAAGTACTTAGAGAAACACTCAGTGGTTTAATATTGGCCTACATTTGGATCACGTGAATATGAAGATAAAAGAGATATGTGCATAGGTTACTGCTGACATGAGTAAATGGATGAGTAGAGTTTGGGCATTTTGAGGTAAATATTTTTCTAATATCTGTAAATAATTTTCGACTGCAACGAGGTCACTATGGTCTTCAAAATGGTTATAATGTCGTCGATCAGAAAAAAATTGATCTTTCTTTTGCATACCATGCCTATCAGGCCTTCTCAAATGGTGGCCCGCGGACATTACTACAATAATAATGAAACAAAAATATAATTCAAAAGTATACAGAGCCAAGATTTCAGAGCAAAGGTTCATTGAAGACAGCTAGATTTGAATTAAATGTAATGTTTGTAATTTGACAAACCATGATATATAAGGAATACTACCAAGAATAGACATAAAATTTGATTGAGCACATTTGGCCAATACAGTCATCACTCAAATTACCCGGTGTCATAACTAACTTAACAGCGCAATGTCCGTATATGACAATTTATCCATTTATTTTTGGTAAGCGTTTTCCAATAATTATCCATAATATTAACGAATCGATAGTATTAAAATTTCTCTTAACATTATGAGTAATGATAGTCAACTTAAATTGCTGTACTATATATAGATATGGTGTATAAATGGCGGAAGTAGCGATAAGACTTATTATAAAATAGATTCTATTTTAATCCGAATGTTTATCTATTGTCACATTTCCAACTAATGGGCTCAGTTCAACTGGTGTTTAGAGCAGTGATTCATGATTTGGTGTACTTTGTGATGTCGGTATACCACCTTATCTTGTAAATCTCAATGCTCAAATTGGATATCTAGGTCTATATGAGCTTAAAGGGGTCGGTAGGCCATTTCTTTGACCAGTCATACTATAGTCTTAGAAACTGAACATTTTTAGCTAAGCTGATCAGTAATAGTGTTCACATTTCACCGTGGAAATCTGAGCCTTCAAATCCATTATTTGAGTTTAAAAGTAAAAGAGACGAGTCATTAGAAGTACTTATATGAAACCCCATAAATGGCGGATCTGTCCCTATAATTGAATTAGGTGTATCAAATGAGGAAAATAGCAAAACATTCTTTTTGTTATCTTCACAACGTCATACTATAACGAATTTGTTGTATTACGGAAGTGTGTAAACGAATACAGTCAACCAGAGCCCTTAGCGGAAAGTCTGTATACATTATTCCATAATAGGGCTCTTGCAGTTGCAGTCAAGGTATAAGAGGAAGTTCGTAATATCTCGTGAAGATGCTCTTTTGTATAATTTTCTGCACTCAATGTTATTGCATTTCAGAAACAGATACAAAAACAACCAGGATGTTATGTTACATTGTAATTCTCATTACATACGGATGTTTGGTGAAATGCAATAGATGTCGACAAGTAGATGAAACTCGAGTAGATTGTTCCCATCTCAACTTAGTTCGTGTTCCAAAAAACCTTCCCGTAAACATCACCCAACTGGATTTGAGTTACAACTCCATAACAATTCTATATAACGGGGATTTTAAACATTTGAATCGACTTCAAATTCTATATCTCGGTGAAAACCCTCTCACAGCTATACAGAGTTCAGCTTTTGAAGGTTTATTGAGTCTACAGTCGTTGTTAATGATTGGACATAAATTGAATTATACTGCTGATGCGCTACCAGATGATGTGTTTGAACCCTTGAGATCTTTGGTAACTCTCGCCATCAGATCGGATATTAATAGATTTTCAGGAAAATACCCAGTCATTCGAGATATACCTTTTGGAAAATTGACAAACCTAATTGATCTCAACATAGACACTACACCGTTTATTGTTTTTGGATCTGAATTTTCAAATATGAAGAAACTACAAACGTTAAAAGTCGGCAATGAGGGCGATTTTCAAGCCGGATTATCACAAGTCACGAATGTAACATTCACTAATTTCTCAGCAACTGTCGAAACAATAATCTTTGATGGTTGTATATTGACATTATTCGAATCTGGATCATTGTTACCTTTTCCTTCCTTAAAAACGTTTCAGTTCAACGAAGTTCAGTTTGGAGCTGGTTCTATAAACGACATTATTAATGCTTTATACGTCTACGAAGGAAAGAATATGTCAACCATATCTATACATTATTTGTACACAAAATCCGCGTACGTTTCACAAGATAACCGAATAACAGGTCATATACTAGCAAATATTTGCGTGGAAAATCTGCATCTGATAAGTGATCATCTGGTAGAATTTGATTTAGATAGCTTTATTTTATATCCGGCGTTGATTACAAAATGTATAAAATCCATTGAATTACAAGACAATTTGCTGACTGGCAAGTTCTCTAGAATAGGTATATTTCTATTATGGCGACTTAAAAATTTAGAGATATTGAATTTGTCGACGAAGGTGAAGTATGGAACATGTCATTTGGATTCTTTTGTAGGCAAAGACGTTCGGAGTAGTAGTTTTCAAGTGCCAATACCCTTTTTTTTACCATCTAAATTGAAATATGTAGATATATCAGGATTGATCTCAAAGCTAGGAGAAGGTATTGATCTATATATATTTGGTGGTGAAAATATGAGATATCTGAATTTTTCTTTTTCTGGACTTAGCAATCTGAACTACTCAATCCGTGGTTTGGAGAATCTCGAAACGCTGGACTTAAGTGTAAATAAACTAAATCTGTTGAATTCAGATTTCTTCCAAGATTTTCCCAACTTGAAAACTCTAAGACTGTCAAGATGTCTTTTAGACAATAACTTTATGTTTCAGCACGGGAAAAGGCTTTTTACCCCACTAACAAGACTGAATTTTCTAGATCTTTCTCAAAATGATTTGGTGCTTTTGTCAGATGACATATTTGAGCCACTTCCTAATATAGTGGAAATTATTTTAACATACAACAAGCTGATCCGAATCCCGGACGTGAGTTCATTGAATCATCTACAGAACTTATATTTCGGGCATAATTCCTTGACCACATTGAATCAAGCTACGAGACAGATGCTCGAGAGAACATCAACGTCCAATTCGAACTTCAGCCTTTCTATTTATGGCAATACCTTTTCATGTTCCTGTTCTTCTATCGAACTTATTACGTGGTTAAATGGAACTTTAGTTGGACTGGATGGTCGTAATTATACATGTATTGGTGAAGATGGTGACTTGGCGACCACAGCTTCAATGTTTAAAGATCTGGTATCCATCAATCGACGATGTCGCTCATCATTTTGGTTGAACATAGCTCTCTGTTGCTTCTTCATTACCATCGTTGGTATCATATCCACTTTTGTATTTGCCAAAAATCGGATGAAGATTCGTTTGTTTCTATATAGGCTGCTAGGGCACAATATTTGTCCGAGAGAACGACATGAATTTAGATATGATTTGTCTATTTTTCACGATGAAAGCGATTACTGCCTTAGATTTGTACTCAGAGAATTACAAAACGAACTTGCTACTGCAAGAGGGATCAACGTTAACTTAGGTTTTGCGCATGGTGGACACAATACTCACTTTGCCGTTGCTGAAGATATTCGTGATAGTTGGAAAATCGTTTTAATAATAACACAACAGTTTCTTAATTCTGATATGTGCCTGTTTACTATGTGTACTTGCTTGTCAGCAATCACTTTAACTACGCCAAATAGAATTTTACTTTTTATTGACGGTCGACCAATAATACCTAACAATGTTCACTTTTTTATGGAATCTATTGCAGATGAGAACATTTTCCATGTTGATCTACGAAATCCACTTGGTTCTGAATTTTGGTCAGTGTTTACTAGATGTCTGCTCCGTGAAGAGATCAGAGATTAAAGGGATTTCCGGGGTTGATTTGAGATATTCAAATATTCGGGGAAAATAGATGGGAAGGTCGGTGATTACATAGGCCATTTTCAGTGGCGGCGCTAGCCTTCCAAGACAGGAGGTACAAATAGGGGGGCAGACCGACTCAATGGGGGGAGAACTGTCGAGCTTGAATTTCAAATTTCAAATGGCTACTCTGTGGTGGTATCATAGTCGCAAGCCTCTCATGGAGTGTCTTAGAGGATTCTCTCAAGAAAATTTGAGAAAAAATGATTGATTTTGTGCATTTTGATTTGTTAAAAATAAAGTGGGGGTACAATTGGGGGTGCAAACCACTTTTCTAAGCCCACCCCCCCCCTCCCCCTGTACTTCGCCGCCACTGATCTTTTTGCCTCATTTCTTTTCCATTGCCCATTGGATGTTAGATTAAACAGAGTCTAATGTACATCGTGAATTATTGCTTACTGCTTTTATTATTTTGTATGCAATGAATTAATAAATATTTGTAACATAATTTGAATAATTATAGCAAAACGAAATGAGCTTTCCTTATAAGTCTTCTTTATAACTCCCACCTCCCTCTAGAAAAAGACCCCATAACTTTTATGACAATATTGAAAAATTAAGCAGAGCAGTATGGCAGCCACTTTGGGTTTCGCTATCAAGAAAGGGATTATACATGAAACGCTTTGATTGGTTTAAAATAACATCAGTGGATGGGCCTTTGATGTTTAAGTGAGCATAAGATTGAAGACTTCTCTTTCGAGCCGCAAAATCTGGAAATTACCCCGACACTTTGAAATATATTAACTATATACTTACTTTGTATAAACAGAAACATGAGAGATATAAATTTGGTTAGAACTGGTAGAAATTCCATTTTCGACATCTCACAATATAGCATAACTACATGTATATTCTCTTCAGAAATTCTGGTGATGGCCTAATGGATTTTTTCTCTTCCCATTTTTTTTTATCCATAGTTAAAATTAACTGATTTTCAAACAAGTTCTGTATGAACGGATTTCACACCTTTAACGTGAATGGTCATTGAACAAGTTGTCAGAAAATAATGAATATTTGTTCTGTGCCTTATATTGGTGGTGGTACATTGTTATCTCATTTTTGCTACGTGACTCAATGACAAGAAATTTCCCAATGTACAACCCTAGACTCCATCTTCTATTAGTTTTCAATATTTGTTTAGTAGTTTTTATGGTCAAGTTGAATAATAATGAAACATATTGTATGCTTAAGGTGCACTGTAATGTTTTACCACGTGGCATAGCGTTCAAGAAGACCTGTTTTCAGTGGCGGCTCTAAAGACGGCGGAGATAGGGCAGGGGACGCTTACTCGCTAACCTGAAGGTCCAGGGTTCAGGCTAGGCATAGGTCGAAATAATACCTTCGAATTTTTAAATCCGGTTTCCCCTGTCGGTTTCCCCAGTCTGTGCACGTTAAAAATCCCTCGACCGATGGAAATCGATTAAGAGTAGGCTATTGCCGATGCCCTGGCAAAATTTCCCTCATTGCACACTGTATGGAGTTGCCTGTCTTCATTTGCTCACATGGTGCAGAAAAGTAGGACGTAAAACTCCATTCATTTCATTTCATAGAATACCTCTCATATTGTTTAAAAAAAAACCATTTATTTATTGAATATAGCATTTGATTGGTTGGTTACAAAACAACATATAAAATTTGTAATACGATTTCTTCAGATCATGGATATGAAGTACAGTAACCAGATTTTCAATTCAACAAGATTGAACATATTTGTGGTCCAACTAAAACTTGCAAATCGGCGATTGTCTCCCCTCCAATGCCATTCAGTGATAACCTATTGGGGTAATCAATACAGTTTCATAGTGAAAAAACAAAATGATCGATTTAAAGGTATAGTATACGTGGTCAAAATGAATCTTTGATCATCAATGGACTTGTCTCAAACCTATATGACAGAATCCCTCTATAATCCAATAAATCCACAAAACTAAGTAATAATTCAGTAATTCACGCTATTAAGTGTGTTTCACTAATTATTTAGTTTATAAATATATATCGTCTTATATAGAGATTCTATTCTTTATTTATAACACCTTTTAAGTTCAGCTGAATATATTCCTTTAACAGAGACTTTCAACAGCATCTGATGGCAACTGTAAATGTATAGTCGTTAGTACACTCTTGTCGACTAGTGGTCGAGTAGTCGTTGACTATCTACTATCTAGTTGCTCGCAAATTCCATTTGCTGTGGGTTCCAATCCTCCTGAAGGTAAGACTAAAGTTTATGCCTGTGCCAGTGCTATCGAGATTTGGCCCTGTATCGGCTTTCACATCCTTATACCGTTTTCACAAGAAGAACCATGTAACTATGAGGATATCATACAAAACAGAACGCACTATGTCACTGACTGAATTCTAATGCATTGCTTATTGCTTCCCGTTAATATGAAAGATCAAAACGTGCAAATTTTGATGGAACGTCTTACCAGACCCTCTCCATCGCACTCTGGGGTTCAATGTAAGCGATTTGCGATTCAAAATCCAATCCAATATTTCCTCTGATTAGCCAAAATTAGACTTTATCACGACGATCTGCGAATCAAATCAAATTGTATATTTGAAGGTTTACTATTGGAGCATTTTAAATTGCTACCGAATTTAAGTTGATTAACCAAAACTAAAATTTGATTTGATAATTTTGTCTAAATTGAACCATGTCTCACTCTGAGATAATAGATGTTGATGTAGGTAGGCCTATAGGTTGTCTTGCTGTACACAGTTAAATGTAATCAATAAGATGATAAACACTGTGGTGTATCTATCTTTCTAACTGTGATGCTTAATCTAAACAAAACTAAAAAATCAATAAATCAATAATTCGACAGAAGCATCAGATGTTATGACGATAATCGGCCTTGACGTAACGTAATAGTAACGAAACATCGCTATTGTGTGCAGGAGTGGATCTGAGACGCTGATGGAACTTTGTTTTCACTTTAAAATATCCAAAGATGAAAATATACAACACCTCGATGGTATTTACATAATGTCGTATTGTCTTCTAATGCATCCCATGGTTACGAATACAAACAAACTCCATCAACGATATTGAATGAAATATTAATTAATTGAGAATAGAGATATTACCTGGTTTAAACATGGCGGAGCTGTAAACCAGACAGGCTTTAATTTGTTTTCTACCTCACACTGTTTGTACATACTTGGAATTTATTCGAATCTTTCATGTAAGTATTTGCTTTAAAATCTCTTAAGCGATTATCTTTCTCTAATGAATTTATGGCTTAGCGAGTTTCGTCGACTACCAGGAAATCTTAAAGATGAACGGGATGATGTAGAAAACAATGACATCGCAAATTTCTGCTCAAAGGCTCAAAATCTACGTATCCTATGAGGCCCATTTTATATACTTTGAATACAATAGTAGTACTCTTACAAATTAACAAAGGCACTTGCAGCAAATTTCAGCGTCGGGACTGGAACTGTCGAGGGAGCTTTAAGAGACAGATGTGCATCGTACCTCCGAAACGGGATTTTTTTCCCGTTAAGCCAAAATTGAAAGTTGAAAAACGAGTCGTCTTTTCGTGAGACACTGTCATATATAGAAAAAAAACATCTATGGAAATAGGAAAATATATTCCTAGTTTGAGATATTCTTAAAGCGACTTTCCTGAAGACTATATACATATATTTAAGACCCCAAATGGCGCATTTGTCCCTTTAACGTGCACGGAGTCTCGGTTTATTGTTCTATCCGAACGAAGAATAGACGCTTTTTCCACGTTTTTTTTATCTGCATCACTGACAGCGGGAAACCTTCGCCCTTCAGGTTAGCGAGCAAACGTCTAACTCACTGAGCCACCGCGGCTCCCGATAACAAATCAACAAGAGTAGGGTAAATATTACATGAGGTTTAAGACTAAAATAACTTGTTTGATCCCATTGCGACTCTCAATATCCGCGACTAGAGTGAAGTGTTCCTTATAAAGTTGCTCTTAGTAAAAATTGTACTTTTTGTAATGACTAATGTTTTTGAAAACTGTTCTGTAAAATCGTGGTTTCATGAAGTTTTCCTTTAAAATAAAAACTGATTGATGTAAGAATGACTTAAACTTGGAAATTATAAA